CTGGTAGCTGGCTTGTTCGGTCTCACTGGGCTGGCTCACAGACTGGTTGCTGGCTTGTACTGGTTGTTGGACAATAGGCTGGGCCACAAATTGGTAGCTGGCTTGTATTGGTTGGAGCCCACTGGGCTGGCTCACAGATGGGTAGCTGGCTTGTTCTGGCTCACTGGGCTGGCTCACAGGCTGGTAGCTGGCCTGTTCTGGGTGTTGCTCACTGGGCTGACCCACTGGTGGGTAGCTGGTCTGTGCAGGTTGTTGGACACTAGGCTGGGCTACAGACTGGTAGCTGGCTTGTTCTGGTTGCAACCCACTGATCTGGTCCACAGGCTGGTAGCTGGGTTGTTGGTTATTGGGCTGAACTACAGAGCTAAAACTAGGCTTCTGGAGTGGCCTGGTACCAGAAAAGACCAGAGAGCCAAATTGATATCTACCTTTTTTGGGCTTGAGAGTCAAGCCACTGGGCTGAGTTTCAGATGGATAGCTGGCTTGTTCGGGTTGTGGCCCACTGGGCTGTATCACAGGCTTGTAGCTTGTTTGTTCTGGTTGTTGCCGACTGGGTGGACTCACAGGCTGGTAGCTGGCTTGTTCTGTCTGTGGCCCACTGGGCTGGTAGCTGGCTTGTTCTGTCTGTGGTCCACTGGGCTGGCTCACTTGTGCTGGTTGTGGCCCATTGAGCTGTCTCACAGGCTGGTAGCTTGCTTGTTGGTTATTGGACTGAACTACTGAGCTAAAACTAGGTTTCTGGAGTGGCCTGGTACCGGAAAATACCAGGGAGCCAAATTGAAATGTATTTTTTGGGGGCTTGAAGAGGGTCAATCCACTGGGCTGAGTTCCAGACTGGTAGATGGTTTGTACTGGTTGGAGCCCACTGGGCTGGAAACTAACTTGTTCAGTTTGTGGCCCACTGGGCTGACCCACAGATGGGTAGCTAGTCTGTGCAAGTTGTTGGAAACTGGGCTGAGCAACAGGCTGGTAGCTGGTTTGTTCTTGTGGCCCACTGGGCTGGTAGCTGGCTTGACCTGACACACTGGGCTTGCTCACAGGCTGGTAGATGGCTTGTTCTGTTTGTTGCCCACTTGGCCGGCTCATAGGCTGGTAGCTGGCTTGTTGGTTACTGGGCTGACCTACATGGCTAAAACTAGGTTTCTGGAGTGGCCTGGTACCAGAAGCGGCCAGGGAGCCAAATTGAAATCTACCTTTTTGGGGCTTGAGAGTTAAGCCACTGGGCTGAGCTCCAGATAGATAGCTGGCTTGTTCAGGTTGTGGCCCACTGGGCTGTCTCACAGGCTTGTAGCTTGCTTGTTCTGGTTGTTGCCCACTGGGATGGTTCCCAGGCTGGTAGCTGGCTTGTTCTGTCTGCGGCCCACTGGGCTGGCTCATTTGTTCTGGTCCATTGGGCTGGCTCACTAGTTCTGGCCCATTGGGCTGGCTCACAGGCTGATAGCTTGCTTGTTGGTTATTGGACTGAACTACAGAGCTAAAACTTGGTTTCAGTAGTGGCCTGGTACCGGAAAATACCAGGGAGCCAAATTGAAACGTATTTTTGGGGGGCTTGAAGAGGGTCAATCCACTGGGCTGAGTTCCAGGCTGGTAGCTGGCTTGTACTGGTTGGAGCCCACTGGGCTGGAAACTAGCTTGTTCGGTTTGTGGCCAACTGGGCTGACCCACAGATGGGTAGCTGGTCTGTGCAGTTTGTTGGACACTTGGCTGGGCCACAGACTGGTAGCTGGCTTGTTCTGGTTGCAGCCCACTGATATGGTCCACAGGCTGGTTGCTGGTCTGTTCTTGTGGCCCACTGGGCTGATGGCTTGCTTGTACAGACTCACTGGGCTTGCTCACAGGCTGGTAGCTGCCTTGTTCTGGTTGTTGCTTACTGGGCCAGCTCATAGGCCGGTAGCTGGCTTGTTGGTTATTGGGCTGACCTACAGAACTAAAACTAGGTTTCTGGAGTGGCCTGGTATCAGAAGCGGCCAGGGAGCCAAATTGAAATCTACCTTTTTGGGGCTTGAGAGTTAAGCCAATGGGCTGAGCTCCAGAGAGATAGCTGGCTTGTTCAGGTTGTGGCCCACTGGGCTGTCTCACAGGCTTGTAGCTTGCTTGTTCTGGTTGTTGTCCACTGGGATGGCTCCCAGGCTGGTAGCTGGCTTGTTCTGTCTGCGGCCCACTGGGTTGGCTCATTTGTTCTGGTCCACTGGGCTGGCTCACAGGCTGATAGCTTGCTTGTTGGTTATTGGACTGAACTACAGAGCTAAAACTTGGTTTCAGTAGTGGCCTGGTACCGGAAAATACCAGGGAGCCAAATTGAAACGTATTTTTGGGGGGCTTGAAGAGGGTCAATCCACTGGGCTGAGTTCCAGACTGGTAGCTGGCTTGGACTGGTGGGAGCCCACTGGGCTGGAAACTAGCTTGTTCGGTTTGTGGCCCACTGGGCTGATCCACAGATGGGTAGCTGGTCTGTGCAGGTTGTTGGACACTTGGCTGGGCCACAGACTGGTAGCTGGCTTGTTCTGGTTGCAGCCCACTGATATGGTCCACAGGCTGGTTGCTGGTCTGTTCTTGTGGCCCACTGGGCTGATGGCTTGCTTGTACAGACTCACTGGGCTTGCTCACAGGCTGGTAGCTGCCTTGTTCTGGTTGTTGCTTACTGGGCCAGCTCATAGGCCGGTAGCTGGCTTGTTGGTTATTGGGCTGACCTACAGAACTAAAACTAGGTTTCTGGAGTGGCCTGGTATCAGAAGCGGCCAGGGAGCCAAATTGAAATCTACCTTTTTGGGGCTTGAGAGTTAAGCCAATGGGCTGAGCTCCAGAGAGATAGCTGGCTTGTTCAGGTTGTGGCCCACTGGGCTGTCTCACAGGCTTGTAGCTTGCTTGTTCTGGTTGTTGCCCACTGGGATGGCTCCCAGGCTGGTAGCTGGCTTGTTCTGTCTGTGGCCCACTGGGTTGGCTCATTTGTTCTGGTCCACTGGGCTGGCTCACTAGTTCTGGCACATTGGGCTGGCTCACAGGCTGATAGCTTGCTTGTTGGTTATTGGACTGAACTACAGAGCTAAAACTTGGTTTCAGTAGTGGCCTGGTACTAGAAAAAACCAGGGAGCCAAATTGAAACGTATTTTGGGGGGTCTTGAAGAGGGTCAATCCACTGGGCTGAGTTCCAGACTGGTAGCTGGCTTGTACTGGTTGGAGACCACTGGGCTGGGAACTAGCTTGTTCGGTTTGTGGCCCACTGGGCTGACCCACAGATGGGTAGCTGGTCTGTGCAGTTTGTTGGACACTTGGCTGGGCCACAGACTGGTAGCTGGCTTGTTCTGGTTGCAGCCCACTGATCTGGTCTACAGGCTGGTTGCTGGTTTGTTCTTGTGGACCACTGGGCTGATAGCTGGCTTGTACAGACTCACTGGGCTTGCTCACAGGCTGGTAGCTGCCTTGTTCTGGTTGTTGCCTACTGGGCCAGCTCATAGGCTGATAGTTTGCTTGTTGATTATTGGACTGAACTACAGAGCTAAAACTAGGTTTCTGGAGTGGCCTGGTATGAGAAGCGGCTAGGGAGGCAAATCGAAATCTACCTTTTTGGGGCTTGGGAGTTAAGCCACTGGGCAAAGCTCCAGATAGATAGCTTGCTTGTTCAGGTTGTGGTCCACTGGGCTGTCTCACAGGCTTGTAGCTTGCTTGTTCTGGTTGTTGCCCACTGGGATGGCTCCCAGGCTGGTAGTTGGCTTGCTCTGTCTGCGGCCCACTGGGTTGGCTCATTTGTTCTGGTCCACTGGGCTGGCTCACTAGTTCTGGTCCATTGGGCTGGCTTACAGGCTGATAGCTTGCTTGTTGGTTATTGGACTGAACTACAGAGCTAAAACTTGGTTTCAGTAGTGGCCTGGTACCAGAAAAAACCAGGGAGCCAAATTGAAACGTATTTTGGGGGGGCTTGAAGAGGGTCAATCCACTGGGCTGAGTTCCAGACTGGTAGCTGGCTTGGACTGGTGGGAGCCCACTGGGCTGGAAACTAGCTTGTTCGGTTTGTGGCCCACTGGGCTGATCCACAGATGGGTAGCTGGTCTGTGCAGGTTGTTGGACACTTGGCTGGGCCACAGACTGGTAGCTGGCTTGTTCTGGTTGCAGCCCACTGATCTGGTCTACAGGCTGGTTGCTGGTTTGTTCTTGTGGACCACTGGGCTGATAGCTGGCTTGTACAGACTCACTGGGCTTGCTCACAGGCTGGTAGCTGCCTTGTTCTGGTTGTTGCCTACTGGGCCAGCTCATAGGCTGATAGTTTGCTTGTTGATTATTGGACTGAACTACAGAGCTAAAACTAGGTTTCTGGAGTAGCCTGGTATGAGAAGCGGCTAGGGAGGCAAATCGAAATCTACCTTTTTGGGGCTTGGGAGTTAAGCCACTGGGCAAAGCTCCAGATAGATAGCTTGCTTGTTCAGGTTGTGGTCCACTGGGCTGTCTCACAGGCTTGTAGCTTGCTTGTTCTGGTTGTTGCCCACTGGGATGGCTCCCAGGCTGGTAGTTGGCTTGCTCTGTCTGCGGCCCACTGGGTTGGCTCATTTGTTCTGGTCCACTGGGCTGGCTCACTAGTTCTGGTCCATTGGGCTGGCTTACAGGCTGATAGCTTGCTTGTTGGTTATTTGACTGAACTACAGAGCTAAAACTAGGTTTCTGGAGTGGCCTGGTATCAGGAAAGACCATGGAGCCAAATTGAAATCTACCTTTTTTGGGCTTGAAGAAGGTCAAGCCACTGGGCGGAGTCCCAAACTGGTAACCAGATTGTGTTGGTTGTTGGACACTAGGCTGGGCCACACTCTGGCAGTTGACTTGTGCTGGTTGTTGGACACTGGGCTGGTCCACAGACTGGTAGCCGGCTTGTCCTGAGTGATGGACACTGGGCTGGGAGATAGCCTGTACTAGCTGTTGAATGATGGGCTTTGCCATTCGTTCATTGCTGGTTTGCAGTTGAATTTGGGAAACTACCTTTACTGGCTTGGGAACAGAATCATTGCTTTGCTGCAATGGCATCATCCCCATACTCACTGCACTACCCATAGAGCCATTAACAAGACGCCCACTTACAGCGGAAGCAAATTGAGATCCCAGACTCTGGCTTCTATCGTCAGAATCAGCTTTTCCACCGGTCACTGGACTACCTGAAGAGCCAATCCAAGAACTATGGCTTCCAGTCCCATGTCCTCCCTTAACTGCAGTACTATAAAGGTTCTTGAAACGCAGGGGCCTGATTTGTCCTACAATATTTGGGTTATACCAGCTGTAGAAACTTTGTAGCTTAACATCTGCTTCAGGGCTATAAAATCCAGGATGGCCTACATTGGTTCTAGAGCTAGATCCATAAACTAAAAAACAATAAAAAGACAAAAGGCATCATTAAAATAGTACTGACAATTAACTTGCTTAATTCAACTGGATAAACTTACCAATCACAAAACTGCCATGAAAAAGGCTTAAGATGGCCAAAGAAAATCTGAAACAAAAATATATTTTAGTGACTGGTAGAAAAAGGAACTAACAAACAGATTTATTAAATCAAAACAACTTACTTTAATGTTTGCATAGTGGTATCACGGCTATCCAGCCAAAACCATCAACTGCTTTCAACCCACCAACTACAAAAAGAAGAAAAGCTTTCAATCAACTAAAAATGAATTCTTCTTAAATTGTCTTTTTTATAGTTCCTGACTCACCAATCACAGTGTAATAGTTTGTTGTCTAAGACCAATCAGTAGTTGCAGGAACCTCTAATAGATCGTTATTAGTTTCAGGTGTCAGCATTTTCACATTATGGTAAGTGATATTTGTTTGGTGCCATTAGGGAGACCCTCTTAAGCTTATTCCCTGTTATTGTCTGCTGAATGGATGTTTCCACCATGAAGTTGTCAATACTGCTGCAGGTTTGAACAATCAATAGCCTTTTCCATGGTGGGGTGTGTCAGCACTGTTAACATAGATGTGCTGCTGCTATTTCAGCATTTGATCAGTTTGTATTCCATTCAGTATTTTATTCTTGTGTGAATACACTGAAAAAAATAAATAAACAAAAATCAGAATTTAACCAAAAATTATCCAGTGGATCAAAATTGATTTACAAAAGAAATTGTGAATAGAGAACCACAAATCACCTTTTAATAAAATCCTTTCATTAAATTACTCATGGTGTACAGACATTTTAAAGCATTGATGCTGTTTGATCAGACTGTGCGTTTTATATTCGGAGTTTGTGAGAGAAACCCCTATAATGTGAAATTTGAAACTAGAAAAAGCAGAACATGGAGAAAAGGGTCTTAAAGTATGCAATGCAAGGTATGCAATGTGTGGAAAACATTCAAAAATGAACATTTTAGAATCCTCAATTTATCAAATGTGCATTATTGTGTTATGAAAACACCTTTCTGAGAGGTACCATCATGCTTCTGCCAGCACTTCAGTGTTAAAATGAATACTGTTATTGTTGAATATATATATTGTTGAATTAGTCGGACAACTTTTCAGCGGCCTTAACACTGCAGTTAACAGCTTGAAGTAGCTATGCTATTGAATAAAAGTCTGTATAGACAAATGTTGTAACTTGTATGTAATCATGACAATGTTTGCAATAAGTGTTACAGTGGACTGAGGAATAACCCCAAAAAAACCTACAGGTTGTGCAATACAGTAAAGAGCCAAAAATTGTCATAGTTGTGTGCATGGCTCCATTTGGGCATTAGAGTGACTCTATAAATAGGAAATTGTTCAAATGCAAAAGGTTCATTATTGGTGATGTGAATGTGACCATGAGTCACAAGTATAGCCAAACATGTAAAGACACTGAGTGCTTCTCAATACTCAAATTGATGCTTCCTCGTTTCCTCGCTCCTCCGTCCTCCAGCCCGTGACCCGGAAACCAATCGAATTCAGCCATCTTGAAGGATATCTTAATTCTCTAATTGCACCACAGAGAAGGCGAGGAACGAGGAGTGAGGAAGCTTCCAGAGGAGCTATGAGCGAGGATGCACAGGTATATCCTATGCGCAAGTCTTTCTTATTGAGAAACCTGATGCAAGTAAAAATTCTCCGACCCCTTCTCATCGGTCACAATAATTTTATGCTTTACCTTTGCAGTTTAAATAAATCATATTTCACACATATATCAGCGCTCCCAAGGCATACAATATAGTTATCCACTTTACACGCTTAGAAAATCGCAACGTTTTAATTTGTGTCACTGTCCTAGGTCGAGTTACACTGCTCGAGTAACTGTATTTAAATAGGGAAAACGTGGAGGTGTTTGGTCGCTTCTCTGCTTGGTCCATATTGAATGAACAGGGCTAGTTAAGTGCTATCAAAGTGTCTCGCGCGATTGAGTGCACGCACTGAGACGACAGAGGTATCAACTCGTCTTAGTTAACGGAATGACATAGTTTAATATGTAAAAACGGTGGAGTATCCCTTTAAAAGCACTAATAAAAGCTTGAAAAATGCTTGAATACTGAAATACATTTCAATGACCAAGGCACTGTAACATTTTGAAGCATCAAAGCATTTTTCCATGAACACATTTTTCATCATATTCTTTCCTATTATGGTAAACCTTATGAATAATATATATGTCCTTTTTCATGTAGCACAGCGAGCTCAGATAAATATGAGTTTATTGTAGTAGTTCAATGAAGCTGGCAACGCTGAGTTGACTGGCCTGCAATACTAGCTTAAAATAACAAACATTTATTTAAATTGAATCAAATTCTATATAAAATAACTCATATTGCACTGGTTTTCCTGAATCAAATTCTATATAAAATAACTCATATTGCACTGGTTTTCCTACTCTCTACTTACACTTTGAATAAGTATACTACCACATTTCCATTTTCACTCTACACAAAACACTGTAGCACTCATAACAGGAAAAAAGTGCCTTTTGTAATACTGACTTTATGAGGCTGATGGCATCTGAACACTTTCCCTTCTCCTACCACCCACCACCCAGTCTGAGGCTTGAGCTGATCTCAGCTGATCAGTATCAGTGATCTTATACCCTTGAGAGGTCAGCAATAATATGGCTCTATTTTTGGGGAATGTTCCAGAGATCAAGCTTTCACAGACTCTGCTGCACCAGAGGACTTAAATGAAGAGGAATACCAGAATTGCACTGCGGTGAAGAAGACCGAGAGGGAAACATGCTCTATTAAAACTAACACAGAAACAGAGGATAGCAGACACAGCCCAGCACAAAATGCCGAAGGTAAGAGACAAAAATCAAATGTATTACAGCTAGCGTTTATATAAAATAGGGAAACAATGTACCTTGAAATATGTGCTTTTCACTACTCCCATATGGTTGTGTGATAGATGTGACCAGTAAAGGATAAAAGAACACGGAGGCAGCAGGATACTGCAAACGTTTAGGGGTTTATTGCCACAGGATGGTGTTACAAATGTAAAGCCAATGCTAACCCAATGGCGGTAAACCAAACATAACAAAAAAAAAAAACGATGGGTTACTTCAAAACCTGTTCTCTCACAGAATACTCTCTCACATACAGAAACAATGAACAAATGAATACCTCAGTTCTTCTGTCTTACTTCATACAAATGATTTTGAGTTTCCTATAAGAAAAATGTATGTTATCGATTTGTTTCTATTATTAGGAAAATTTCATATTCATCAATCTAAGTGGAGTAACTCAAAACCCAACTTTGCTCATTTCAAAACAGTCTTTAAAATGTATTTTGAGTCTGTAAAATTTTTTAAAAATCGAAAAGCCGAAAGAACTGTATCCCTGCTAAAAGAATTTAATATATGTCTGTGATTCCCTCTATCTTTATTTTTTTCCATGTTTTTTTTTCTTTTTCTTCTTTTTCCAAATCATTGTCGTCTCATGTTTTAATGTTTTACTTATCAGATGTTATACTTATCAGAAAATGTTTAAAAGAAATGTCAAGAACTTGATATCAAACTCTGTGATTTTGAAAATTCAATTAAGAAAAAAAATGTATACCTTGGTGGCCAGCACCAATTAACACATAATAGGGAATACAGAGACATATAATGGCCATTACACACAATAAACGCTTATGAAAACACCCAATATACATAAACAAACACCTCAAATAATACTAATAAATGACTTCACTTAATAAATGTACTTCTTATAAACAAACAAAAGAAAAGCAAGCAAAATAGTCCTTGGAGTTCCCCCGGAGCAGAAACCGGAATGGTTGTGGCCCAATCACCGGAACCATATATATACGCCCGATGTTTCCACTTGAACCCCTTTTGATGGTGCACCAGCTCACGGGACTCAGACGTAACAAACAAACAAACAAACAAAAAGAACGGTAAGAATAAACTTAAACCAAACGTTAAAGAGTGTGCGCACTTAACTCCAAACGAAAGTTTAAATAAAGTTTATTAAACCAAAATAATGTTGTTGTGTATTCTTGACTGTAAACAAATTCCAGTAAAAAATTTTTTTTTAATAAAAACTCAAAACTGACCTGACCCAGGCTCACCAACATCTGCCACAGGTTGGTTGCAGAAAAAAAAAGTTTTTATTGAACATGGATGGAGAATTTTTTTGTGTGAAAACAATTAATAAGGGTAAAATCATAAAGGTGGTTTGTTTGTTTGGACCTTTTTACCTTGCACACAGGGTAAAAGCGCTCACCAGCATGGAGCAAAAGGCACAGCTTATTGATATACTTCAGCTAAAATAATGTTTTTAATAATGTCTAAGTTAAAGTTGTTCAAAACAATCACTTTAGCAAAGTTTGTGCTATTTTAAGTTTATTTTGATAAATAAAAAAACTTTTTTGTCCAATAGATATACTGTCATTAAAATGTTTATTTTAAAAGAAACTAAATTATAAGTAAAGATTCTGAAATGAGATCCCATGATAAATTATTATAGCTTTACAGTAACAAATAGCCATAGGCTATGACATTTTTATTATATGATCAAATTAATTATTATTTTTTAATATAGCCTACTGGTTTAATTATAAATTTGGTGACTAGCCTATTTCTGAAGTGGATACCCAACTTAATAGGCCTTTAGGCTACCATCTGAAGTCAACCAGCTATATTTATCATGTTGTGCCTTTCGTCCCAACAGCAGGGGTATATATGATATAATATATATATATATTCATTGCATGTGACATTTGGTATAGAAATAAACAATTGTAATTTAGTGCTTTTCCTAAAAATGAGAAAGAAAATACTAGGGTATTAAAACTGTATGAACAACAGATAAAGTCAGAGGCTAAATAGATGTGTTTTGGTTGAATTAGGTAAGATGAGTGCTTCACCCTTCACACGATTGGGATGTTCTATTGTGTTCTGGGCTGCAAGTGCAGTAATTGTAACATCTGTGATATTTTGTAGTATTAAACACATATTTATACCGACTTCATCAGGCTCAGAAAATTCTTCACAAAGAACACAATGAATGGCCTTCTCAGCTGCTATAGTTGCAACTCTTGCGTCATCAGAACAGTGTGTTCAACGTATCACTATTTCTGTTAAAGAACATTGCATGTGCAACCACAACCGGTGACTGGAGTGCTACAGTTTGGGAATACAGTGTAAAGCCGAATCACAGAAGTAGCACAAAAATTGCATAAAACTCATAAGAATAGGCCTAATCACATGAGAATTGTTGCTTAACAACACTGTGACGTGTGGAAAGCAACTCTTAGATCATCAAATCCTTAAAAACTTTTGTTTTTGATGCTCTGTTCTGAATTCTTTGTCAGGGGAGTCTCCATAAAAATTTGCAAGCATATGCAAAAACACACAAACAAATCCTCTCATAGACTCACAAGCTTCCATTTTCTTAAAGTCATCATGGAATCAAAATTGACCCCTTTTTTTATGGAGTATTGCAATATTTATTAAAAAGGTTTTATCTGTGCACATTATTATTATTATTATTTAATTCAATTCAAGTGCCCTAGTAATCTCTAATGATGTTTACTGGGCGGGACAACCTGTCAATCACATGAGATGACCGTAATAGCAAACAACAACCATTAAATAAATACCTGATGGACAAAATCAAGTCCTGTTTCACTCTGATATAGCTACATCACCGACTATTGCTTGATTTTCTTTCTTTTTTTTTTTTTGTAGGTGATGCCTCTGCTGAGTCTGAACACCAGACGGCTGGTCCGGAGGTGATTTATGATGATGTACCCTGTGAAGATTTGTCCTCAGGAGAAGGTCAGTCATGTTTTTGTGTCTCAGCATACAGATCTCTCAGTTCCAGTGTTGTAATGTTGTGTGTATCTTGGTGTTTCTTCAACTTCCAACTTTTGCAATCTTTTTACTATAATTTTATAATGTATCTTTCTACTGTTCAAATACATTTTATAGTTTTACTCTTTCAGATCCTGACAAACGGTCTTAAAATATGAAAATTTAGCATAAAATTTGCATCTACAAATGATGATAAACCATTACGACCAACAGATGTCAGTATTTCCATCAAAATCTAAAATTTTGCCCCTAATAACTGTTAGTGAACGTGTTCACCAGTATATATATATATACATATACATATATATATATATATATATATATATATATATATATATCATGCTTGAAATAAAATGAGATATTTGGAAAAGAAAAAAAATGCAATGTATAATTTGAGATATGGTGGAAATTACATTTGCTATAAGGTTAAAAAACTATTTTACAGTTCACATGGACCAAAAGTGCCCATAGTTGAAGAAACACCCTTCTAGCATATGTGTGATTTTGTGATTTTGTCAGAAGACCTACAGTATTAACAGGACTGTACTTAAACCTGCATTGCTTTTTGTGTCAGCTGACTTGATCTATGAGGATGTTCAGAAAGAGGAGGGCTTGCAAGGGCCCAAAAATGGCTGGAGCTCAAGTGAGTTTGAAAGCTATGATGAGCAGTCCGACTCTGAGAGGGCGCCGACCCGTAGCAAGGTGCGTGTGTGTTAATAGATTCCCCAAAACTGCAATAATTACAGCCTTCCAAACATCTGATTTATTTTCAGACACATTTCCACATTCCTCATAATGATAAACCACAGAGGTCCTTAAAAAGATGTAAACCCCCCAAGGTTGCAGGCTGAATGATTGGTATGTGTTTCATCATTTATTTGAGATGCAGGTTCTTGTGATGCTTTGATGGTGATGGTTTGCTTTGCCACCACAAGAGTGCAGTGTTGGCCAGCACTTGCCCAATCGATACTAACGCAGGAGCGTGACTGACACACTTTTACACTGCTCTATATTTCTGCAAATTTGAATTCTGTGTGCACTGTGTTATCTGCCCTTACACGTTCATGAGGTCACACCGGTATGGAAAACACTTTGCCCAGGTGGCAGTCCCTCAGAAACCAATTTCCCATGGCCAGACTCACCTTTACCTTTGCTGAATTAGGCTCCATAAGATTCCTGCTGCCAGACGACTTGCGATAAGCAAGAATTAAATTGCTGAGTCTAATACCACAGTGATTTGAGCTCAGTTTAACCAGTTATTCTCCCTGCTTTTTTTTCCAGTGCTTGTATAATTGGAATGGAATGGCTTTCTTTCGAAAGGTGTCAAAAGTTTTTATAGTGGGCTTGTTAAGAATAAAACTAACTCAAAAGGACAAACAATGCAACAACTGACTTCACAACAGCATGGGGTAATTGGGAATGAGTCTTTGCGATTATGTCAGGAAAAAAATAATAACACAAAATGCAATGCCTATTTCTCTGTTGAAAAAGTTATAAAATATTTATGAATATATAATATATTTTAAAATGTTTTCTTTTTGAATAAAATGTTTTTATTTTGCAAGGATGCATTTAATCAATTGATTAAATGCAATTGATCAAAAGTAACAGTATACTTTTACATTGCAATGTATTTTTTAAACAAATACTATAAACAAATACTAACAAATACTCACATGAATAAATAACATTTGAAAATATATTAAAACAGAAAATAGTATTAAATATATAATATTTTAAATTATATATATATATATATATATATATATATCATATTTAATTTTATTGCCTTGTTTCCTTGGCACACAAAATATTACACTACAAAAAAAAGTTACCAACCGCAAACTTTTGAATGGTTAAACTTATTTCATTTTTTTTATATTCTTCTGAAATTTTTTGCATGCTCCATCAGACACAATATTAATTCTTTCCACTAATTGTGAAACTGCACTCAAAGGATTCAGGAATATCAGAAGCAGTGAAGTCATCATAGATGCATCCTTGGAAAACAGATCAGACGAAGACATCTTATTTGACTGGATGTTTCACAAACATTTGATTAGGACGAGATGACTTCCTACCTTTCGTTTGGACAAGGAGGTGTTTGTCTGAGATTCACATTTGCGAGGGTTTACATGCTGTCATAATTGTATCTTCCTCTGCTCTGTCCATCTCATGCTACTTTGATTTAAGATTTAAGCCACACCCATTTTGCTAGTAATTTCTCTTCATATGCTTTTGTGGTTGATCCTGATTTTGCTTTGCCTTCATCCCTTAGTCTCCCTCACCTTTATGCTTACCCCTTCGTTCCTTCCTCTTCCCCATGTTGCCATGTTATTGCGCTCTCACCCATGGCCTGTGTTGTTGCCGTGACGATATCCGTAGCTCTCCCCCGATGTGCGACGTCTGAGAGAACGTTACACCAGGACCAAACAGGAGCTAGCCATGAGACTGGGGGGCAGACATCAGGTACACTCAAGCACGTATGGGAAAGAATGGGCTCCATGGGGGTGTACCAGCTCAGAGCTGTCAATAGAGGCGATCACAGTCACCTGCGTTCAAGATTACATATTCTCTTTCTCACTTTTCTCTGCTAAAAAGACTAGTTTGAATTTACATGCTGGTCTGTTATTGCTAACCAACATATCCAAAGCATAGATATAGGCTATAGTCTCTTTTTTTCAGTAGAATAAGTCTAAAGTTGTCTGTCCCTGTCTCTTTTTTTTATCAGTTTTTTAAATCAGAGTTTTGTCATATGAATTGAAGTCATGGACTGCAGATAATAGGTGTTGTCTATATTGTGATTTTTTTGTTTTTTTTGTTTTTACATACATTTTTTGGTAATAGAATATATTTTACTATTGAAATATACAATAACAAATAATAGATTGATTTACAATATATATATATATATATATATATATATATACTGTAATATATATATATATATATATACTATATAAGTGAGATAAAAAGTAGCAATTACCTTTTTTAATTTTTATTAAATGATGGAAACAAGCCACATTCATCAAGGCCCGATATACTTCAAGTGAAGAGTGAACTAGTGTGACGTAATTTCGAGTAAAATCGGGCCAAATCAAAGTCCGATTACCACAGGAATAAATTATATTTAAAAAAATATTTAAATAGAAAATGATATATTTTAAATTGCAATAATATTCCACAATTCTACTACTTTTACTTTATTTTTGATCAAAAAAATGCAGCCTTGGTGTGCATGTGTTAGCAGAAAAATCTACTAACTCCAAACTTTTGAACAGTATTGTGTTTCTACTTGCGTGTAACAGTCCCATATCTATCACATGTCCACTTTCCAAGGAACTTATGGTCAATTTGGAACCCTCTGCCTTTCAATTTTGCGTTAAAATCCTTCTCTGTATAATTCTCACTTTCTTTTATTCTCTTGTAAACAAACCATTCAAATTGCTTCCACTATAAAACATTTTGATTCCGCTTGCCTAATCTCTCATTTGATATGGACACACTTGTGCTGTAAACAGCTTGCATGTGTTTTAAGCAAAACATTTCCATATGCTCTCCATTAATGACCTGCTTTCGAAGATGGGCTGCCTCCTTTTTTTCTAATTTAAAAATATCTCTGTAGCTTGATGTTCTCTCACACACTTAGGATCTTGTGGCTTGTGGCCATTTAAGCAGACCCTTAAGCACACACCCAACTGCCGCCATGCTGCACTGAACTGGTGCCTCACAAATGGCAGGCAAACCCAAGCGTGGCTGTTTACGCTCGAGGGCTTGAGATGGTCAACCTTTTTCTATAAGGGTGTACAACGTCCAGCCTGATTGTTCCCCTCTGGTCCCTTCGCAGGTTCATCAGCTGATGCGGGCGGCACGTAGCGGAACGAAAGATGGCCTGGAGAAGACCAAAATCGCTGTGATGAGGAGAGTTTCATTCCTACATAAAAAGGACCACTCAGGTAATCTAAGAATATTTTTGAGAATTTATCTTCTTTCAAGCAATCATCCTGTCCACTTTTCCTTTGATAGAATCCCACTCAGGAAAGAGGCAATTATACGTTTATAATGCATTTTTTTTCTCCCTCAAAGAAACAGGTCTGTTCATTGAAGTAAGTTAGACCTCTTTAGAGATGGCATATGATCTGACAGCCACAGAGTCAGATGCGATAGAAACGGTTGATGGAATGCTTTCGTATATTCTGCTTTTAAGTAGAGAATTGACTCTGGGAGGTAGAGCCAGATAAACACGTCGATGATGTGAAATATTTGTCATGAAGCAGGAAAGTATTATAAATCAGACTGGGTCTTTCATATAAAATGATAGGCGTATATGAGTTGATGAGGGCATTTGATGCACAGGAAAATTGGCTGGGATTGGTCCACATAATGCCTTACTGCACAATGTGAAAATTACTATTTGGAAGTGGAGACTGGTGTGATGCCGATTGAAACACCACTTTAAACGACATCCCACACTGCGTGTAGTGCCAAACATTTGATTTGGAGGTTCTGTTATACTTTATTTTATTTTGTACAGAGCCTGAAAAAACTTTTAAGCCTTGGGAAAAGGTGGGAATTTATATGCAGGATGGTTTTCTTTTGTAACCGTCGAGTGAAAGAATGCTTGCTTAGCTCCTTACTAAGTTTGAATGTTCTTTTTTTTCTGTTTGAGCATCTCTTGAGTTGAAACCATAGGTGAATTTGTATTCTTCGCTTTGCAGGGATATATATTATGTTTGATTTTTTTTTTCCTTTTGTGTGTGTATCTTGACAGATGACACTGAGGATGATACAGGGTATCTGGATGTAATGGTATCTGAGGCAAAACACCCACCTGCGCAACTGGGACCAATGCCAGATGGGCTTAGCAGCCAACAGGTGCATGTATATGTATTTATTTCTATAAAAATATTTTAAATTGAGTGTGTACATAGTATAAACTCACCTAAAGGATTATTAGGAACGCCAGTGTTTGAACCCCTTTCGCCTGCCTTAATTCTATGTGGCATTGATTCATTCAACAAGGTGCTGAAAGCATTCTTTAGAAATGTTGGCCAATATTGTCAAAATTTCTTATGAAATAAAATAACTCATATCGTGATATAAGATTTTGGTCATATCACCCACTAGTATTCATCAGCAAAATAGTTTATTATTATGACATGTTTTGTTTCTTGAAACTGCACATGACAGTAATTTGAGTTGACAGTAGCTCATTTTTCTGGGGTAATAATAATATTTTGATGATTCTGGTGTGATGTCCTACTTATTGCTTTTCATCTCATCCACAGATTGTCCGACGCCACATTTTGAGCTCTATTGTGCAGAGTGAGAGGAGCTACCTGGACTCTCTTAAACGGATCATACAGGTAAAATGGATGATTTCAATTTCACATGCCATTGCATCTGTTCCAAGAACAGCTGTGTTGGTGTAAAAAAAAAGAAAAAAAAAGTTACACTTTTGATAGATTCAGTAGAGTGAGGAAATGTTTTCACATAACAGAAAGTTTTGAGAACTTTGGTAAGTCTTGGGTGTCTTTTTATTTTCAGCGTACTAAGATCAAACTGATACTCATTGCTTTTTGATACGTCAAATAAATTCTGAAAAAGTAGTTAAAATGCTAAATATTATTGCCATGTTAAGTGCTCAAAAATGCTTGTTTAGCATACATTAAATCATTATATGTTGCTACTTTTATCTTGGTTAAATAACTCTTATGATTGCATAACAAAAGGCTTGGAAGGGTTTACAAATAATGTCAAGGCTCCATCTTAAAGGAGTAGTTCACTTTTAAAAAACTTTTGCTGATAATTTACTCACCCCCATGTCATCCAAGATGTCCACGTCTTTCTTTCTTCAGTCGAAAATAAATTGAAGAAAAGATTTTTCTCCATATAATGGACTTCAATGGGAACCACACGGTTCAAGGTCCAAAAGACACTTTCAGTACAAACTGCAAACTGTTCAAAGGGCTTTAAACAATTCCAGACGATGAATAAGGGTCTTATCAAGCGAAATGATTGCTCATTTTAAAAATAAATAACAAAGTTTAATTTTTATCCGAGTCAATTTGTTCATTTCGTTCATTGAATGAACCAAATGACTTGAAAAAAGATTCATTCGTTTTGATGAACGAGTTTGAACAGGAGAGTCACGAACGCGCATCACAGAACAGAGCAATGCAACCATTCGAGCTTATAAAACTTAAACTTTGTTATTTTATATTAAATGAGCGATCTTTTCGCAAGATAAGACCCTTATTCATCGTCTGGAATCGTTTAAAGCCCTTTGAACAGTTTGCAGTTTGCACTGAAACTGTCTTTTGGACCTTAAACCGTTTGGTTGCCATTGAAGTCCATTACATGGAGAAAAATGGAAATGTTTTCATCAAAAACCTTAATTTATTTTCGACTAAAGAAAGAAAGAGATGGACATCTTGGATGACATGGGGGTGAGTAAATTATCAGCAAATTTTTTTTTAAAAGTGAACTACTCCTTTAATGTGAAAGTCCAGCTATTCAAAGCCTTCAAACAAAAGATAACACTATACATTGTCTTTAATACTGAATTTGTGTTCACATTCACATTCCTTTTAGTGGAAGCATGCAGGTCTGGTGGGTTTCATCGTAGTGTGGAGTTTCATTACACACAATTCTGATCTCAGCTAGTGGAGGAGAGAAAAGCTTTTGTTATCACACTCCTTTGAAGGCACAGGCAGAATATAAAATTTAATCACAGATCAATGACAGCTTTACGCTCTATGAAATCTAGTCATTCAGGATCTATCTCCAAGCTTTGTTGTCAAATCAAATCTCTGTCAGGTGTACTTTACAATTCCTGCTGTCTTTATAGCATGGTCTAGGGTGGTTAGAACAGGTAAAGTTTCCCAAAAGCAGGGGGATGGGGGTCTACATAATTAAGTTTAGTACGGCTGTTGTGTGCGGTCAGACACATCTTTAGAAAAAGAAATAGTCCCATTGCCTCATCCTTTGTCTTATTTCTCTTTGTCGATAATTCATTAGCGCTGGAGACTCCAAGATAGGAAAGTAAGCAGCCATGAAAAATCTATTGTGTCCACAGTCTAACTAGCAAAGTGTCTTTGCTTTTAAAGATTAAGTCTTGGTTTATCTAGAGACATCACTAGCTTGTTTTGCAATTTAAGGAAATCAAACCTATCAAAGATTTAGCAGAGCACAGGTTGAATTTGAAATTTTAATGTGGGTAGACAGTCAAAGCCAATATCAATGGAAGAATTAGGTAGTTCACCCCCAAAAATTAAAATTTTGTTAACTTTTACCCACCTGCTGTATGTACTGTAAACCGTTTGTTGTGTTTTCAACTTTGTCATTTTAGATCTTATGAAATATGAAGCAAGTTATTTAAAACATTAATCTCATAATAGGTTTTATGCAGTTGTAATTGCAGTATAAATGCATTTATGCCACCTCTAAGATGATGCATTTAACAAGCAATTCAATTTAAGGGGGAAAATATTGGCCTTTATGGGAAAGTTAATTTCTGTCACTGTGAGGTGATAAATCATTGAAAAAATGAAAGCAAAGTTAAACAAGACAATAAAAATCACACTGATGCATTCACATTCAAGTGATTTTACCTTCAACATTTTTCTTCTTATAGTGTTATTGTTATTATAATAATTATAAATGAGTATTATAAGTATAATTAGAGTTAATCATTTCTAAGGGGAAAATAAATAGGACTTGACTGGACTTGCTCGATGTGAGCTACTGACTTGATCTAGTTGTTCCCACCTCTGTAAAATACATGCATTATTTAAAAGATGTATTCATATATGCAAATTGGACATTTTGAATCTTGTATTCAAATGAATGAAATGGATAATGCATAGTGAGACTTTTAGTGATTTTTTTCACCCCACTGTTAAGATTAATTCAGCACATTTTTTATCTCCGTCCCTTGTCAAGGTGAAGCAAGTCAGAGCTGTAAATGAATTATTCCTCCTGTATATATATAAAAATGTTTCAGTAATAACATCTCCATTTCCCATGATCCTTTAGGAATACCAGCGACCTCTGATGGAGGCCGAGCCTCGGATCCTCAGTGTCAGGAAGATCCGGCCCATTTTTTTCCGTCTGTGGGAGATCATGCAGTGCCACTCCATGTTCCAGATTGCCCTGGCATCTCGGGTGGCCGAATGGGACTCTTGTGAAAAGATTGGGGACCTGTTTGTTGCTTCAGTGAGTATGAAAATGCTTGAAAATTACTTCTAAACTAAACTTTTGAAAAGCGTCACGTTTTGTCGGTGGTCTTTGTTCAGTCGCTGAGTCCGTACGCATGTCACCTCCAGTTAATGATTTGATTTCCAGTTAATTATGTTCACCTCTTACTAGTTTAATTCCTCTTTATATTGTTCAGTTCATGGACACGGTTAATGTCAATGTTAAGATTGGTTTGCTTTACTCCTGCGTGTTTCCTCATGTGTAATCCTGTTCTCCAAGTTTTTAGTTTTGTTTAGTAAAGACCCTTGACCCAAACCCTTGACAGATTTACAGACCCATATAATGGATCTAACAGCAGCCACCATCCATTGGTGGACCAGCTTAGATGTCGACCTATTCATCGGTTTTGCCAATTAATCGGCACCGATAGTTGATTAGTGGAACTATCTTTATCGGCAATAATCCACACCGATAGTTTTTCCGGGTTGTGTCTTTTCAATCACTACAATAGATCTTGTCATTTTGATTAGACACTCATCAAGTGTTGTAAAATAGAAGCAAATAAAGTGAGACACTATAGGCTATTATGAATACATAATTACACAGGTCTTTATTACATTTTAATGACCATCTTTAAGCACGACTCTTTGGAATTATATGAAATGGGAACATTTTTCAATAAGATTCCATTTTTAGCATTAACTAAGGTTATAAGGTCATTGTTGGTTTGTTAATTTCAACATTTAATGCATTTGAAATGGAGTTTTAATTCTTATTTAATTTGTTATTACCTTAGTTAATGTATTATGAACTAACACGAATGATAAAGGTACAATTGAATTGCTCATATTAATACATGCAGTAAAACCGTATATTGCATAATGCATATAGTTCACGAAAGCTAGCTAATACATCCTTTTTTCCCTATGTGTTACCTATGAAATGTGCCTATGTTTCTAGGTTATAGCTAACGAAACCTGTAATATTTTAATGTTTAAATTATTTTCTAAATTTTATTTTTAGTTTTATTTTCTTTATTATTTATAAAGTTTTAATATTTTCATATTTAAATATTTATTTAATTTAGCACATTTCAGTCCAGCACTGTTCATTGTAAGTATTATGTTTTTTTAATCCAGTATCCATTTAAAAAAAAAAAAATGAAGAGTTCAGATGCAAAAGCCTCTAAGTGCCATTTGAAATTTTCTTCTAGAATGATCATTTTTATCAAGCTTGTATATTTAAGTTCAGTGATTTCACTTAAATGACAATGATAATTACCTATTAATTGTTATTTAAGTGAAATTACTGAACTTAAATATACAAGTTTGTCAAAAATCATCATTAAAGAAGAAAATTTCAAATGGCATTTAGAGGCTTTTGCATCTGAACTCTTCAAATATCGGTTGAATTATCGGTTATCGGCATATACAGTCAAACCTAAATATCGTTATCGGTATCTATCAACCTCTAGACAAGCTATTCTTGCTCCAAGACAACTGTCAACTGGAGTTCCTGGTGTTTAGCTTTCAGGAGTCCTGAAATGATGGCACTCGCAACTTCGCAAGGTCTGTCACTGGAGTCTGTGCATGGATCCTCCTTTACCACTGATGAAGTGTCCACTCCCCCAGTCCACTCCCATTCTCAACTTTTTAGTTGTGTTAAATAAAGACTGCTAGATCCTGCCTCAAATCTCTCATTTGCATGCAACAAACTGTGACAAACTGAACTGTATGTATGCTGTTCAGCTTCTATGCTGGCAAGCTGTATTTCAGGTACTAACAGTGTTCAGTTTACTTAAAAAACATAGCCAATTACTATATAAGTGAGGATGGCTGTCTCTTACCAAAGTAAGCATGCTGACACCATTGGGCTACAGGGTGTCCAATGGACTAATGAATGAGGCTTCCGTAGTGACCCTCCTCACAGACTGCATCCATAAACTGCTCTCATTATTCTTCCGTTAAAAGAGTGCGTTTGGCCCCTCTGACCTGCTTTTATTGCATAGCACTATTGGCCTTTGTAATGTCCCTGGAGCACAAAGCAGTACCATAGAGAGAACACGTACAGCTGAAGTTGCACTGCTGTGCGTTGAAAAGCAGAAAATAGACCCACAAACCACATGACACACATCATATTGCATCAGTTTGCACATTTTTTTTCTGTTATTGAGTGCATATGTACACAATGTGTGGCACATTTGCAAAGATTGAACTGCAGACACAGATAGCGTCATTTATTTGCATGCATTGTCTGTGTTGTTTCAGCACCAGCTTTATTATGCAAATCAGGTTATGGCACAAAGAAGGTGCCCAAATAGGTTTTTTAAGTGGAGAAATTGTACTCATCTGCTCTGTGCATGCTTGGTTATGACATTATTTTGCCATGATCGATAGAAAACGTATATAGGCATCTCTTATTAATGCAATTCAGTTAATAGTTTTGCACTGAAATACTGCACACTGCAAAGTGCTTCAACTGTTTCGTGAATTTGCCCCGTATGTGTTTGTTGATAATAACATCTTTACCCATGTGTATCATTTCCTGCCGTACTTGGCGGCCCCAGAGGGAAGGTACAGTTTGACAGGGGTTAACGTCTATTTGTGGCTCGTTAATGTCCTCTCCAAGTCCTGCGAGCACTGCTGCTGTCAGCAGGTCTGTTCGGCTTCAATCAAAGCAGAGCGAATGGATGGCTGCCATTTTGCCTGCTCTAAAACACCCAGCAGTAATGGACTGTCAAAGATGTTTAGGTCTCTGAGATGGCAAACTATGCTGCTGCACTGCATAAATACCACACTAAAATTACTGTTTACTTCCATCCCTTTGCCCTTTAATCACCTTTAGAGTGGCCTGCCCGTCACAACAGCAAAATTTAAGAGCAGTCTCGGCTCCGAAGGAGGAACTGTACATATTGAGAGATGCTGAAACAATGCAGAAAATGAACATAAAAGCAAGGGAAATGTGATTTATCTAAACAATCTTCTCTTCGCATTCCCCATAGTTCTCCAAGTCCATGGTGCTGGATGTATATAGTGATTACGTCAATAACTTCACCAATGCCATGGCCCTCATTAAGAAAGCCTGCATCTCTAAACCAGCATTTCTGGAGTTCCTCAAGGTAAGAGCTGATATTTGCTGTCAATAGCCCTAAATCACCTCTGTCCATTGCTGAGCTGTGCTGCTGTATGGGTTATTGACTTCTTTCCTGGAATTTTCCATTTTGCACAGCAACAAATTGTATTGGGAAGTACTGTATGTTTTCTCTTGTTGTTCCAAACATGTGTGAAGATTTTTTCGGTTCATTACTTAGCATTAGTTAATGTATTAACTAACATGAACTAACAATGAGCAATGCATTTGTTACAGTATTTATTCATCTTTGTTAATAAAAATGCTGTTCATTGTTTGTGCATGCATGCACTGTAAAAAAATATTGATGGTTTAACTTAAAAAAGTAAGTAACCTGGTTGCCTTAAAATTTTAAGTTCATTGAACTGGAAAAAGTGAGTTAATACAATGAAGGAGATTAATTGAACCATCAGAAACTCAAAACTATATGTTATCTGAACTAAATAAATTGTTTAAGTTGATTTGACAAAAGAAAAAATGTTGTGATTACTACACTGTAAAAAAAATATTGTTGGTTTAACTTAAAAAAGTAACCTGGGTTGCCTTAATTTTAAGTTGATTGAACTGGAAAAAGTGAGTTAATACAATGAAGTAGATTAATTTAACCATCAGAAACTCAAAATAATAAGTTATCTCAACTAAATAAATTATTATAAAGTTGATTTGACAAAAGAAAATATGTTGTGATAACAAATCTTGAAAATATTCTTTTACAGTGTGGTAGTTAACAGTGCATAAACTAATGTTAACAAATACCACCTTTTTAATAACGTATTTGTAAATGTTGAAATTGATATTAGCTAAGATTAATAAATGCTGAAGAAGTATTGTTCATTCTTATAGCCTAGTTCATGTTTCTAACTAAGGTTAACTAATGAACCTTATTGTAAAGTGTAGGCATTTTTTCTTCTGTGGAACATAAAAAAAAAGATGTTTTTTTTGTAAGTCAATGTATGTGTGACTGCACTGCACAATGATGTTTGGAATGCACTCACTTTATTTTGTCTTTCTGCATTGGCAGCTTTTGTTTCATATAAACAAGTTAAAAACAGTACAGAAAGTGTTTTTTTTTTATTAATGATTCATTCTCCAAAAAGTCTTCAAATCTAATGCAGTGTTGCTTCTCAAATAATTTTTTCCACATTTTAACTGAAAAAAATGAGAGTAATTAAAAACACGAGAAGTCATTGGACATTAATTTTAATAGCTTTGAGGTTAGTCTGAGAGTGAACATCTTTTGCGGATCATTTCAGACAAGCCACAAGATACTTGTTAAGTGTTGGCAAAATATTCTGCATTGTAAATATGAGATTGAGGTTATCTGTTCTTTAAAGTTACATACAATATGTGTGTTGTGTTTTTATGACAACAAATTTTCCCTGTGACTGTAATCTTTAACATCTGTTAAGGCAGCTGAACTCCACAAATACACAGTTGACCGTAGTCTAATATTCCTGCTTTGAAACCAGCTGGAGGGCTCTCAAACACACCTACTCTCTGACAGTGTGCAGTCTAATGACCGCCATAGTCTGCTAGCAGGCACGAAAGAATCAATAGTATAATGCTAACCTTCACCCACCTCTCTGACTCCCTTGAGCGTCAAGATTCTTCTTCTCTCTATGTGGAAATGACCTTCCACATGATTTTCCTTTTCTTTTTCTTTGCTTTTCTCTCAATGGGCACTTGTTCTTACTTTTGCAGAAGAAGCAGGCATCCAGCATTGACCGTATAACCCTCTATGGTCTGATGGTGAAGCCTATTCAACGTTTTCCTCAGTTCATACTCCTCTTGCAGGTCAGTATTTACCCATAAACTGTTCACACAGTGCTGCTGTTCAGAGTACTGAAGGGGGACGCACTCCTTCAGGGAACTGGGAATTAGTTGCCAGGCAAGTCTATTAGAAACTGAATGACTGGCTAAGACCATGCCAGTTGTTCTGGCAGGCTGTTGTCTCAATAGTTTACTCTCCCCTTGACTTACGGCCATGATGACTCGGCATTGGGTGTGCACCATGGGCTCCAATGACTGATGTTGAAATAGAGCACACGAATAAACCAAAAACAAGCATGCACTTGAGTTGAATGAAAGAGGGAGGTCACCCCAAAACTTTCTTTTGTGAAACCCCCAAAATAATTTTTTTGAGGAATATTTTCCATGTACTATAGTGCAAAAATACATCACAAAAGTGTAAATGATTTGTGCATGATATTCCAAATATTCTGAAGCCATATGGAATTCATTAATTCATTTTGAAACTTGACAAATGATTCCCCATTAGTTTTCAGCATATAAAAATAATCTCCACTTGTGTCCCAAAGTCAAATTGATTTGGAAAGACATGAGGCTGAGTAAATTATGTTGTAATTTACGTGTGAAATATTTAAAATAAATAAATAAATAAACATTTCAAATATCCAATCTGTCACACACACAGCTTACATGCAACTTAAATGTCAGAGAATTATCAAGATCTACTTCAGAAATATCCTCAGCCAGCGGGCCTTAGATGACAGTGACATATCATGAATTTACCAGATTTTCCATCGCCAAACTGTTTGCACCACAGTTTTGCTTTCTCTCATGTCCTTCCTTCACTTTTGTTCGTTTCTACGAACAAGGAGCAAGCGAGGAAGTCAGTGCTGAACTTTCCCATGCAAGAGGAGCTGTGGCACTTCATTTCATACCCCAGTAGGCATCGATTATCTGTGAATTTTGATTGATAAGTTATGAATGTGACTGCGATTTTTTTTTTCATCTTCAATGCTCTGACATAGGAGTAGCTTGTGTTTAATCGCATATTAAACAGAACAAGATCTGATGACTGGCTGAGAGCGTTCTTCTGCCTGCTTTCTCTTTTTTAGTGGCCTAAATTAACCACAAAGGGACACATTTTATTTGAAATATGAAAAGGAGATGTTAAGGAGAAAGTTTAAGTTGCCCTTTTCCATACAGTATGACTGGTATTTTAATCTTATTTTAAAAGGGCCAAAATAAACACCATAAAAGTGTCATAAAATAGTGGCGTTTGTGCTTTTAAGTAACTTTTAAGTAGTTATTGTTTATCGATAATCCGCTGTTTTGCCTCTTAACTCTTATTCATCATTGCATTAATTATGTATTTGACTTATGAACCAGTGGCGTTTGACATTGGTGACATCAAACCTGACAGTGTTTTGTACTGAATTCTAAGTGCATGTGAATACAAGGCTTGGATTATGCTTCAAACTCAACTAAATAAAATAGAAAAATCCCTGTAAATATGAAGAAAACGTTAAATTCACGATATTTTATTGTCTTTAAAATCTCATCAGAAGTAAATTCATCTTGTTTTAAGTTTAGATATTGTTCCTGAAAATCACTAAGAGAGGTTGTTTTTTTTGCAGTATAGTATTTGAGGATTTATTAACTAGAAATAATATGTAGAAATAAAATATTTTTTTTCCATTTATAATGATTTTTCATTTACCTTTTACATTTATCATTTATTACATTTATCCATTTATTCTGTACAGCATGGGTGTTATGAATTGCAGTACTGGCATTTGTGTCTAGTTTAATTGTGTCCGACTCAAAGTTCTGCTGATATTTCAGTTTGTGCTAAATGTTTTTTGAATGAAAATAGTGAGCAAAATGTTTGTGTAAATGTCTATCTGCTCTCCACTCTTTCTCAGAGAGAGCTTGTGAATGATTGTTGTTTCAGTGCACAGTGCATGAGATGTTCTGTTATTCTGACCCTCTTTTCTTACTGTTGAGTGGGAGTAAAGATACTGGCAGCTTTAAATGAATGCGAATAGTACTATACAACATTACAATGGTTAATGTGTTGTCTGTGGTTTAGGTGCAGTCATTACGGTATGCCATTAGCTTCCTCAAATGATTCTTTGTGCTTCTTATACTTGTTCACTTGGTGGCTTTCTTCCATCCTCACTCTCTTATTGCCATTTCATTCATTTCTTAGGACATGCTGAAGAATACTCCCACTGGCCATGTGGACAGGCTGCCCTTACAATTGGCTTTGACTGAGTTGGAGACCCTCGCTGAGAAACTCAATGAGCAGAAAAGGGTGGCTGATCAGATCACTGAGACGCAGCAGCTGGCTCGCTGTGTCAGTGACCGCTCTCTCAGCAAGGTGAGAACACACACACAAACACACAGTTACTCAGCTGTTTTAACAGGATGCTGTTGCCTTGATGTAATCACAACAGTATAATTCCTAATCCCAAAACCATTTCATGGTTTCTTTCCGACTTCCCTTTTCTTAGACATTTTTGCAATTACTTTTCACCAGCTGGTACCAAAGTCATTATGTTCACACAGCTCTCCTAGCAGAGAGCTACAGATGTGATTCATCACATTAACTATGGGCATCTTACACTTGCATTTGACGACCAGAAAATGCCACAATGCTTTTTGTCTTAAGTTTGAACAATATATCTATTATTTTGTCACTTGAAACCCCCCAAAAACTTAAACAGAATATTTTTATTTAGCACGAATGCAGTAAATTGATCACACGGGACATTAAAGGCATTCTATTCGTCAAAAGAATTCTGAACAAATAACATCACAGTTTCCAAATATTAAGCAGCACAACAGTTTTCAACAGTAATAACAATGCAACATGTTTCTTGATACCAATTTAGCATTAAGGATTTCCTAAGGATCATGTGACTGGAGTAATGGCTACTGAAAATTCAGCTTTGCCATGACAGGAATAAATAAGGCAATCCGTTCTGCATTTTCCACAGTTATCTGTGTGTGTTCCAGAAATGTGTATGTGTGAAAGAGAGAGAAGGAAATGGAGATGTTTTTAGTTGATAATGTTAATACTAACTTGTCTATATTATTCGTACATCTTTTTATTCATCTTATTTAGTGTTCGATTCACATGGTGATCATGTAACTGTACCTCAGGTATGCTCTAAGTAATGAAGTCTCCAATTTTCCCCTTTTATTGTCCAGTCGCGAAAGCCTGTGGAAGTCACTGACTACATTTTTTTTCAAGGCTAAACATTGAAAGTATTAATGCAAGGTCTTGCTTAGTTAGGTTTGTGCGATACCATTTCTTCTGTCTATCAGAACGTGACAGATTAACAATGTAGAACAACCAGGCAATGTAATCAGTCATGACCTAATCCCTGATCGTACATTCTGACGCAAAAATCCCTTGATGTTGCACAGTATGCCTTGACTTTTAAGACCACTCTCACTAGTCACAAATTGTGAAGACAATTGTAGACCTTGCTTAACTAATAATTAGGGATGCACGATATATCGGCCAGCATATCGGTATCGGCCGATATATGTTAATTTTTAATGTTATCGTTATCGGCCTGGTAAGAAAATGTGGCCGATATATTAAAACCGATAAATAATGTATTATTCCCTTCAGCTGAGACACTTGTTGAGAACTGTTTATGTTTTTGAATTTCTTGTAATATGATTGAAATCTCTTCAAAAAATCTGGTTCGGGACAACATGTGCAACGCAAATCTGTCATATCGGCTATACAACACTACAATGAGAAGAACATCATTGTGCGCTTGGGACGTGGATTTAATTGTGAGACTTTTGTTTTTGTAATCAGGCTCTCAAAATTAGATAAAAATTTGGATTTAAGTTTATCGACCGATATATCGGTTATCGGCTTTCAAATATAAAAAATTATCGGTTATCGGTATCGACCAAAATTTTCATATCGGTGCATCCCTAATGTAACACTACCGATTATGATTTAATCTAATCTTACTGTATGCTCACAAGGCCACTGTTGGTTTCCATCTACTGACAGTCAGCCTTTAAACATGCTGCCAAGTACTGTACCTGGACATTACAGCTGACCCTTCAGTTATCTCTGGCCTGTATTTTTCTTCATGGATTCATCAGTGAGTAATGATGTCTGAATATATGCCAGGGGTGTTTCTCTTCCATTACCATGCTCAAATCACAGGCCAGCCTCTGCAAATCTGAACAAATGCATTTCTCAATAAGAGGAATTAGAGAGTAAATGAGACACTTAATTGGAAAGTCTAAGTTGCTCTCAGTATCTCTTGTTTGGTTCGCTTGCTTTTGCTTTCTCTCTTTATCTGTCTAGATCGCTGTGTGTCATGCCTCCCTCTGCTGCAGTCATTTCTCTCTGTCTCTCTCTCTCTTCATGCATATCTCTCATTTTATCCTTCTGTTTGACTCTTTGGGCCCTATTTTGACACTCTGAAACACAAGTATCAAGTAACTTTGTGTGCGGGCACTGTTGGTATTTTACCGGCAGGATAAATGACTCTTGCACCCGACGCAAGTTTAAAAGGGGTTGGTCTGAAGTAGCCTCATTATTCATAGGTGTGGTTTGGGCGTAACGTGAAATAAACCAATCAGGTGTGCATGTTGCATGGTGGATTGTTATTATAATGTGCGGGTTTACCAGGCGCGCGCCAAAAGAGTTTACAGCCGATGAGACCGACGTTCTTGTCAGGGCAGTGAAAGACAGAGAAGTGACGTTTTAGGGGTATGGGAGAAACCACCCAAATCAGCGTCGGTTAAACATTATGTACATATGTGTCTTCCCACTATTGGGCAAACAGGTCTGATCCTTCATTACTACAATTAATCTTAAAAAAAATTGGGTAATAGGTTTTTTCATCTTCATGTGAACCACAATGATTTCCCTCGTGTTAATATTTTTCCTTGTTTTAATGTATGATTTGCAAAAAAACTAAATAAAACTACTGCATCTGTGTTGATGAGAGAATCAAAGTGTATGAGCGTTGTGCACCTGCTACGTTATGGCCAAGCATGAGCGCTTAAAATAACTTTATGAACAACGCATAACGCGCCACTGACTTTAGACCATTTTTTTTGGTCAGTGGCGCAATTGGTTTCTGGAACTGTAAAATAGCACCAGGGAATGTTTGCGCCGAAATATGCCTCCTTTTTTGCACCGATCCGCCCAGGGAGCACAAATTCATCTTTGGAGGAAAAAAAGCCTGCTTTTCTCGGGTGCAAAATAGGAATGATGCATGTGTCAGTTTTGCGCCGGTACAAGATAGGGCCCCATCTCTTTCTTCTGAAAAAACCAGACTGCATTGCGAGCTTAGTGAGAAATGGGGAGAGTTTGAACCCATTTCCTTATGTCTCTTTAGATATGTTGCAAAGCGACCTGCATAGGCAGCATCGTAAGGCTTGGTTGGTGCACTCTACATGTAAAGGGTGTTCAAATAGCTATTCTGTCTTCTAAGTTACCAAAAAAGGGAAATTAAGTCCCAGAATGCATTGCTAAGCTTAGCTTAGTGAAAAATGTGGTGTCCAGTACACTGCTTTCTATGTATTTTGAGCATGTGCACTACCTACTGTGCAGTGGCTCCAATCTTAACTTATTTTTCAGGGATTTCAGATGCATTCCAATGTGAAACAGTCAGTTCCTTTACCCCATATACATGCAATGAAATATTCATCATCTGTCTCAGACTATTTGAGTTAGTAGGCCAGCAACTATAGTATGGTGCACAGGCTAAGACTGCAGCGTCTCCCTGTCGCTCTTCAGCAAGCATATCACATACACCACTCTCTCTCTCACACACACACACACACTTCCATCCAAACTTACAACCCATTTCAGTCTCACTCTCAATTCAGAAAAGGATATCTGTCCTTTCCGATAACATTCTGTTTGCTTCGTCATCCTTTGGGGGGCGCTCTTACTATATAAAAACAGAAAACCTGGAGCATGCCTTCTGTTCTGACTGACTGAAGGTCTAATTTTTCAATGCATTTCAACAAAGGCCAAGCAGTGTTGCCAATTCCCTTTGGATACGGCAACTCATTTTGTGTGATGCGGGCTACAGAAGCAGATGCATTATTTATAAAACTACTCTCCGAACTGATCAAACACCAACACGCAATATTTATTTGAGCCGCTGGACATTGGGTTTCGCTGCTGTGATTTTGATATTATTGCTGATGTAATGAGGATGAACTCTGGGACTGTCTCCTTACACAACAACAACAACAAAAAAAAAAAAAAAAATATATATATATATATATATATATATATACCCCCCCCCCCAAACCTGTAGATTGGTGCTGTTCTGTTTATGTGATGTAAGTGGTGCAGAAATTGCACACTTTAAAGAGATAATTCACCCAAAAAGGATCATTTATCGTCATCATTTATTCACCTAATGCTATTTTGCAAGTTTTTGTTTCAAATGTTGTGTTTATCATGCATAAATAGCATTTTTGTGTAAACGAAAGGAGGGTTAAGCTTCCAGTTAGATGATTGTAATTTGTGAATGAGTTTAGTCACCTAGGCAGTCTAGCTCGTTATAAACAATAATTACATGTCATAACAGATACAGAGCAGTCAGAAAGGCATTGGCAACCAATGTTCGGGAAAGTTACTTTTAAAAGTAATGCATTACAGTATTGCATTAATCCCTAAAGAAAGTAACAAATTGTGTTAGTTGTGTTATTTTTGTTTCTTTTTCTCACCTGGGCTGGACTTTTCTGATAAAAACAAAAAAAAAGTTACATTTTTAGCAAATGTAAAGGCCTTTTCACGGCAAAAGTGAAATGAATAAGCCTCAGGCTGAAAGAAGTGCGAATTCAATAGAGGCCACAACTCAAACAATTCTTTTAGCTGGGCTGTCATTCTGGATAACACAATAATAGGATGCTGGAAAAGAAAGTCCAAGACACTTTTTTAGGCAATATAAACACAAAAATTAAACACAAATGCGATGTTTATCTTAAGTATATCTTTGCTTATTCGTATGGTTGAATTGGGTCATCATCATCAAATGTCAGCAGCAAAGACATTGGTTAATGAAGCGAGATTAAATACATGGAGTATATTTGTGTTTAACATTTAATTATTGGAGGTTTGCGTTTCTCATTTCACTGTTCTTATTCAATTTAAGGAATTACGGAATCAGATTTTTGTGCAAGTGAGATGAGTGAATGCGTGCTCACATTTAGTCCAGAACTACTTTTCGTTGTTGTTGAAAAGGTGTAATGCATCATAAACGTTTAACTTTTAAAATGCAAATGAAATATTAAGGCTCTCAAAAAGTTAAAATAACTGATTTTATGTAATTTTATAAAATTAAACTTTTAAAAATTATCCAAAAATACATAACCAGCCAGTGTTCAAAACTATCTGCTTGCCTTAGTCAGAGCGGTAAGCTTGTAATGATGTTTTTAATTCCAATTAAAATGAATGTTTTTGATTTCCGCGGGAGATTCAAGCATGTCTTTGCATCATTACGTCACATCTGTACACATAAAAAAGAGTCTACACTTCTCAAACCGATTTAAAACGAGCATCTCCTCAAACGAGCTCTCCCCAACCTTTTCCGCTTCAAATATACTGCCGTTTCCAATCTTCTGTGCTGCCTTTCTGTGAACCTTCAAGTGTCTTTTACGCCACACTTTGGCCTGTAAGTAAGCGTGCAGCCATGTAATTGGTAGCCTCTATTTTGTAAGACTTACGTGTAATCAGTGTCTCCCCTGTCTTCTCTTCAGCTGCTGAACTCTGAGCAGAGCTCTTTGATCCTTTGCGAGACGCTGATTGAGACGGTGTATGGTGAACGAGGACAGGTCCTTAAATCTAAGGAGAGGAAAGTCTTTCTCTTCGGTGACATGCTCATCTGTGCCAACATCAATGTCAAGTATGTGTCCAGGACAAGGTCGATTGACTTTCTCTTTGTCACTCCACTCCCCCCTTTAAGGCCACACTGACTGATTGATTGCCCATCTAAATACAGACTTCCGAGTCTCCAGGAGCATTACTGTGATGTTGACCCAATATGAGGGGGTTAACCACTAATGTTTGAGGCACAGGACAGAACTAGCCAGAGTCAAATGGGCCTACATTATCTGGGAACAAATAGCAGGGTGTTTAGCTACAGCGACATGAATTATCCACATAGATCTAAGGCATAAAGGCGCTTCTCTTTTCCACCCAAAGAGATTATCTATGACAGCTCCATTGATCACATCTCAGCAGTGCAAAAGGTAAAAAGCTAAGTGAAAAAGCTTGCGGTGATACTAAATCTCGAAGCTTTTCAGCTTGTCCTTCCACTCCAGCATGTTGGGTCTCTGTTCTACTAAAGTGTGGCTCTACATGATCGTTTAGAAGATTACAACAAAATATGAATAACAACAACCCCACCCAAACAGCTTGAGCTCCAGACTTCCACTATGTACTCAAGTTGTAAAAAAAAAAAAAAAAAAGAGAGTATTGGGGTATGTTTAACATGATTACATTTGAGTGACTCCTTTACCAAGTGATCTGTTAGGTTACTTATTTTTATGACTGTGCAATACATTTTGAAATGTTATTCTTCTTGTCACCACCAGGGGCCCCCCTGATATCAGCAGTCTGGTTCCAGTAGGTCCCAAGTATAGCCTGAAGTGGAGTGCCCCCTTGCAGCAGGTTCAGGTAGTTGAAGTGGGTCAAGAGGGCTCCCAATCTAAGGACACTCTTTACCAGCTTGGAGGCGTCAAACGTTCGGGCAGCTCTTCGGGACTGGGTAATGGCAATGCGGTTGGCGCTGCTACTCTTTCTAAACAATCAGATAGCATGCACTCCTTGATGTGAGTCTCCGAGACATTTTGAAATAACTGTCCGTTTTTTTTTTTTTTGTGAGAAATGCAACCTTTTATGGCCTCAGATACAGATGAGTGTGTCTCAGGTGAGGTAGATAAGAATAACAGAGGAATAGGCTAAGCAATCTTGTTTCACTGTTTGATAGACCACAAACATATTCAGTGTGCTGTCATCAGTCTTGGCGCATTATTTCCACCTCCACTTCCAATCAGAGAAAGCAAGTTCAGGAGATTGGAATCAGGGCTGAACACTCTTACAAAACATTTTTGTGTTTCGAGTTGGAAAACGAGGAGGAAGAGAGCAATTGTGGGGCACCAAGATAAATATGCTGACGGAGCTCCAGGTACAAAGTGTTATCAGGATGTACAGGTTCTGGCTGTTTAAGCCTTTTGCTTTCTGAGCTGAAATATTAATGGTGTTGTCTCTGAAACGCCTATGTTGGATTGTGCACACAGGGGAGCCAGGAAATTAGATGACAGAAGATGTTTAATGCTAGGGCCTAGCAGACAGCTTGCGGGCAGGAGTCTTTAGAAGACCTCTTATGCCCCACATGCCTTATTTCGCTCTGAAATCATTATAAAACAGCATTCTGTCCAATTTATCTGCCTCCGTTCTCTTCCTGATAACTTATAACTCAGCAGTAGCCTCCCATCTACTTCCTATTTCTCATTCCCATCATTTTCTCTGTCATTTCCTTCAATTTCAATTTCAAAATACTGGCATGATTGTTTGACATAAAATGTTGCCAAATAATCAATACAAGAAATAAAAACAGTGACTGGAAAAAATACAATAAATATAGCATAAATATATAGTATAGAATACATGTTTTTCTTTTTATTAAATCGCCCCTATGCTATTTAATAGTTGTTTGTGAATGTGAAAGGTCTGCAAAGTGCATGACAAATAAAGTTATTGTCCTAATAGAAATAAATGAGCATCAGAATTTTAAGTCTCACTTGCATAACATATCAATGCGACATAGGTTTGTATAAATGTGAATAATGCCAGTCTTCATTTACTGCCCGTAAACAACAGCCAGGACCCAACCCTCAGTCATTTTAGTTGTAGCGGAGAAGCAACATGTTGGTTGGTGGGGTCCCCTTCGGTAGAAATCGTGTTCCACAAATTGGCCACTTTCACGATTAAAGGGGCAGGGCTCAAGTCCCCCTGCATAGACCCCCTGTGCATGCCACTGCGACACAGTAAGTTGTCAACAAGTCACAACAGGCTGCTCAATTAGAGCAGAGGAAAGGAGATGTTAAGAGAGACTGAATCCTTTGAGTTTTTTCAGGCACTGTGAGAAAAGAGGTGATATGCAATGAATATAATGAGAAAATGAAAGTGTTTTTTGACCTTGAAAGCATCGAAGCCTCTTGTATGAGAACTACAAATGTAGGAATGTTTAAAATAGCACAATGAGGGCAATTTAATATATAGCCTGCATTTTTATATGCACTACCGTTTAAAGGTTTGGTCAGTAAAAGAAGTAATAGTTTTAAATGCTGAAATAGGATTTTTTTTTTTAAAGGAAATTCATTTTATTCAACAAGGATGCATTAAATTGGTCAAACATGACAGTGAGGATATTTATAATGTTACTGTAGAATTCGATTTCAAATATATGCTGTTCTTTAGAAATTTCTTTTGAAAAAATTATATAACAGTAAAGGTAATGCACATAATATTTATGATATACTATACAATTCAATTGAATTGTAACATTGCATTATTTTCTATATACTATATACTGTATATGTGTGTGTATATATACTGTATATACACACACACACACACACAGTATATAGAAAATGATTACAGTGAAGTATGCCTCTGTCTCAACCTCACTAGTCTTAGAGAGCCACAGATTTATTCTTTTGAAAGCCTTTTTCTATGGCTAGACTGGTCACGGAGCCTGTATTTGGTGAGGAAACGTTTCAGTATCTCTGTCTGTGACGAGATATAAGATGGACCGTGTCCCTCTCTTTTATTCAGTGACCTATTTGAGCTGTTAGCACACATTCTGGTTAAGTAACAAGAAGCCTTCAATCACTATTTTCCAGACACCTTTGTCGTAGTCTGGTCTAGTCTGAATATGTCTTTCTTCAGCTATAAATAGCAGCACATAGACACACAACCCTATTTTGCCTGGCCCACGTCACATCTCTCCTATTTTGTGATGTCACTCCATGGGGCTCCTCGCCCAAATCAGATCCCATGCTCCCCCAGCGTACCTTAAATGGACTCATTTTTCATCCCCTGCAGGCCCCAGTGCCCTAATTTATTGATGGAATAGGCCAGCAATTCCAGGAAGAGCAAGGCCTCTGTTGCCGCCACTCTAAAGCTGTATATAAAACAGTTGCATATTGCGAATCTTAGAGGCTTGTGAGCAATGAGATGTGTTCTTAATGGAGACTTACTGTGCAGTGATACTATTTTGGACAATTAAGCCCTCTCTCAAATAATTTATCCTGCTGAAATATTTCTAGACTTCTGCCATTTAGACAAAGTCATAATAATAATAATAATAATAACAACAACAAGAATATTTGTATATTGTTTTAATATAAATTATGATTATATTATTTCTTGTATAGTATTAATACATATACTACTACTGCTGATAATTATGATTTATTACAAATTATAATATAAGATTAATATCATTATTACTATTTATACTTTTTATATTGTTTTAATATGAATTATATATAGTCTATTATAATCAAATAATATAACATGGTATAATATATGAACTTTTGAACGGTAGTGTATATTTAATTGTTAAAAAAGAATTGTATTTTAATAATCTGTTTGTTTAGTTTCTTTTTATTCATCAAAGAATCCTGAAAAAAAAAAGATCAAATGTTATAAAAAAAAGTATCAAGCAGCACAAAATATAATATAATATTAATTAGGGCTGTGCAAAAATTAATTGCGATTAATCGTATCCAAAATAAAAGTCTGTGTTTACATAATATATTTGTGTGTGCTGTATATAATTATTTTGTATATATAAATACCTATGCATGCATGTATATATTTAAGAATTATTTGCGCTTAAATTCTGTGTGTGTATATATATATAAAGACATAATCTATATTATATAAATATAAATATTTTATATATCAATTACACATTTTCTTAAATATATACATGCATGTGTGTGTATTTATATATACAAAATAATTATATACAGCACACACAAATATATTATGTAAACACAGACTTTTTATTTTGGATGCGATTAATCGCAATTAATTTTTGCACAGCCCTAATATTAATATATACATGTAATGTACAATGTATAGATGTGAAAAGGATGTTAAGTTAACATTTTTGTCTCTTTTACCCTTAGCTGGTTTGGTGCAATATTAATCGAGCATTTTAGTCCCTGGAAATGATCACAGACTAGTTTCCTTAATGGCCATGGCATGCACACCTTTTTACTATTTTTTTTATTTATTTTTTCTAAAAAAATAATAAAAAAAGTGTCAAAAGCACACTTAAATGTTAGTTTAAGAGCAAAGGTTTGAATGAGAAATCCAAATTTATTTGAGTGGCCATTCTGGCATCAGCTTGGTTAACTTAAGGCTTTGGACAACTGTATTGGGTTTGCATAGGCCTCTGCTGGTGGCCGGCCAGCGTGTGTGTCCGTTTATGACAATGTGTGTGAGAGAGAGATAGACTAGTGGAAATGGTGGAAAACCATGCAATAGTGTGAAAACAAGATCCCAGCACACCAACTGGATTAGTCTGGATTACAAGTCAGCACATTCACCTGAGGCCAGGGTGGGCCACAAGCCCACAAACCTGTAGGGCCGCCTGAGGCCTTGCCACACAACCAGAAAAGTGTGTAAACTCTGCCAGCTTGCGCTGTAGGGGCTCACTGTGCCTATTTTTATTCAAATGTGTCTGCTATTGATCAAGCCGTGCCAGTGACAGATGTCTCTGCGGCTGTGTGAGTTGAAGACCCTATTAAATTTCTAAAGGTTAGAGAGAGACAGACAAACCAGTGGAAGAAAGATGTAGAGGTGTAAAGAAAAGTGGATTGAATCCTAGACAGACAGGCCCATAGAGAGACAAGAGAGAAAGAGAGAGAGAGAGAGATGGCGTGTCAGAGCTTGAGAAAGATCTCTAACAGACCTTCCAGCAGTACTTGGAAAATTAGGTTTAGCTGGGGGTCAACAATTGCCCGTGCCGCCCCGATTCTGCACACAGGTCATGTGATTATGCGGAGGTGCTGAAAGGCCAGATGGTCCTGCAGTCTTCGCATCCAGCTCTGGGATTTAATTACTCTCCTCATTCCTGAGCTATCGGTCGGACACAGAGCAGATTCACCCCCGCTATTGATTCTGCAAGCAGGGACCAGAGACCGCAAAAAAAGGGAATGGGGATTCAAATCGATGGTACATTTCACGTCTAATGAGACACCTGTGTTCGTTTCGTCACCCTTAAAGGGCTTCATATTTCCAAATGGCTTCATTTTACACTCTGCTCCTTTTCCTTTTAGCGTTAGCCTCTGCGGCTGCACAAACAATGGGAACAATCGATCTATCTTCAGTATTGATTCTCTTTGTTAGTGGAGCTACTGGAGTGTATTGACAAACGAAAGTTTTGGGATAGTGCAGAAGTCTTGAAAAGTTAAGTTGATTTTGTTTAGATTTGCATTAGGGCAAGTTCCTTTAAGCGAAAGCCTACAGGACAACGAGTCTTCCTCTTTAAAGGTCAGGTATCATCCTGAAAATTGTGTCATCGTAGACCACTATGCAGGCCTCCGATCAATCATTTTAAATGGAGGAATGTGCATTGTATAGGAAATCCTAAAGTGCTTTTTTATTTGAGCATAGCTCACAGTGTAACCGAGCTTTTCTGACTCGATTACACATTCGAATGATTCAGCACCTTACGGGAAGCCATATCCGCAGAAATAACATCTCATCTAACGAAAAACCCTGGAGTGCAGGTGAATGTTCTGATAAAGTGTGGTGTGCAATTTAAGTGCTGGATAAGTGAAGCTGGTTATTTTTGATTGGCAGGAAGTATCATCCTGGGTCCGCCCCGTCTGTATCAGGAACTGCAGGAGTTGCAGCACGACCTCTCAGTGGTAGAGCAAGTCACTCAGCTCGTGGGGACTTTACAGGGAACGTACCAGGTAAATAATGTTCACTACCACACATCTGAACTCTTAAGCAGAAACTTGGAGGGAACTGACATGCATTAAAACAAATACTTTGCGCCGAAGTAATTGTAAACATGCTCATAAATTGAATTTGTGGCTTTAAGTAAAAAAAAAAAAACAACAACTTACACGTATACTTTTAATATACCGTATTCAACATTTGAAGTGGATCAAAACAATACCAGCAACTTTAGAGGAACTTTTTTGATCCACTTCAAATATAATTCATAGAAATTTTAAAATACATGTTTTTACATACAATACTGTTCAAAAGTTTGGGGTTGCACTGTTGTTATTACAACATATTTTCTTTTGTCAAATCAACTTAAATAATTAATTTAGATGAGAACTTATTATTTGGAGTTTCTGATGATTAAATGAATCTCCTTCATTGTATTAACTCACTTTTTCCAGTTCAATCAACTTAAAATTTTAAGGCAACCAGGTTACTTACTTTTTTTTAAGTTAAATCAACAATATTTTTTTTAAAAGAATCTCTTATGTTTACCAAAGCTGCATTTATTTGATCAAAAATACACTAATATAGTGAAATATTATTACAATTTAATAAAACTTTTCTATTTTGCTGTATATTAAAATGTAGTTTATTTCTGTGATGGCAGTCTTCCGTTTCACCCGATCCTTCAGAAATCATTCTAATATGCTGATTTAGTGCTCAAGATACAGTTTTTTTTTTTAAATTATCAATGTTGGAAAGAGTTGTGCTGTTTAAAAAAACAACAACAACAAAAAAATGATAGGCTACCCCTTTTTTGTATGAAATATAAATCTTTTGTAACATAAATGTCTTGAATATGAATATGTCATTTCTCTCAAAAATGTAAATACAAAATAAGATAAGATGTGCTTTTGGATAAACAACATTTTTTCGTTATGAAAATATAATATCCTAACACTGTCCAAAAATGATAAAAAAGTACAAAGTCCAGGAAAAATCTAGGTGGAATATATTAAGCAACAAAACAAAAGCAGTATGAGCCACATATGCTGCAGCCATCTGGGGATGGAAGCCTTTGGGGTATTTTAGCCTTTTCAGTGCAATTAAATTGTGATCAAAGTTCAGCAACCAAAGACGTGGATCATCAATTGATTATCATGGCATCCGCTTGATAGTTGGACGTCAACGCGGGGAAACCTTCATAATCTGATCTGCAGTTGATGTTCAGATGGGAGATAGCTCTAAACAGCGTGTCTGCACAGAACAAGGCTGCTCTCAAATCAGGACAGCTCCCCTGATGCCTTGCCAGCAACTAAACCAATACAAAAACAGTTAGTTTACTTCTTTTACTTCTGAGTGTTATATGAAAACAGAAACAGTGCTTTGTCTTGCATGCTTTCTTGTCCATAAACATGCTTTTGGCCTTTCTCCAAATGACTAATTCCTACCACAATCTAATCAGAATGAAAATGTGAGGAATATAGAGAGTGGGTGAACTTTTGCAGACCTCATTGATTTTGCAGATGTATTTTAATTGGATTTGGCTTTTGGAAGGTGTGAATCATTTTGTTTATAAGAGGGAAGCCTTTATTATTTCATCAATACTTCAAGGCCAAAGCCAAAATTAACAAAATAACAGTGATCGACTGGTTACAGGTCAGTTCCGATATGGTAAGCTGTGCTAAACAATGCTATATACAAATTAAACTAACAATATACAGCACACTATGATTTTAGAGTCAGTAAGATTGGATTCAATTTTGGGAAGGAGACATTAAATTGATTGAAAGTGACAGTAAATACATCACATAAATAATTGTATTCCAAATGAATGCAGTTGTTTTGAATTCTCATCGTCAAAGATTTCTAAAAAAGAAAAAAAAGTATCACAGTTTCCCCAAAAATATTAAGCAGTTGTTAAGCAATTGTTTCTTGGGCAGCAAATCAGCATTCTAAAACGATCCCGAGACACTGAAGACTTTATCAATTGATCTTTATGCAGTTCCTAATTACATTAAAATCTTTCAGTGCATTTTTATTTAAGTTGTACAATTTCTGGACTGCGTTGGGTGAAAACTTGATGTCCAATGTAAAGTCAAGGTCCTAAAGCACTTCCAGTAAATGACGTGTTTGCTAGAATCACACTCGTCATTCTTTGCTGTGTTTATAGAATCTGAACACTACGGTAGCACAGGACTGGTGTTTGGCGTTGCAAAGGCTGATCCGGATCAAAGAGGACCAAATTCAGAGTGCCAACAAGTGCCGTTTACGATTGCAGGTCCCTGGCAGACCAGACAAGTGAGTAATTGGCTTAAATTAAGCTTCAATTTTCTTTAGCACCCTCAATAAAATTCAAAAAAGCACACATTAATGGGCTCAGATATTTGTTATAGCCATTTCTAATCCATGAACACATTTTCCTTTCCTGATCTTCTCTTAATAGATTACATTTGCCTCAAGAATGTAAGTTTTAAGACATTTTGCTAAATGGCTTCTGAGATTTTCTAAACAAGAAAAAGAACTATTTGGATTACTCCACAGCTTGATTTCAGACTCTTATAAAGTCCTGCATACATTCTCTGGCGCAGGTGATCCCAAGTGGCACTGAAATATAATGCCAGATGACAAACATGTTAATGTTCATGTGCAACAACGTTAAGATGATGGAGCCTGGCACCATGTTAATTTCCCCTAATGAATGCATTACCCGGCTTTATTTGCATCGTGTGTTAAAAGCTTACTCCTTGTCACCTTTAACGTAGCCAAGCGGAAAATTACAAGCCTAATAGCTTGACTGGAAATCATTAAGTGATAGTTCTCAGATTTGGGAGATCAAGATCAATTCATTTAACTTAGTCTGGGGGCTGCTGTTCCCCATTTGAAGCCACTAGTGTCATTTCTCTTTGATGCGTAGACAGAGGCTTTAATGTACTCTTATTATGTCACATTAAGAGTCAGTGAATGTAAATGTGTCATGGCGGAGGCTGCACATTTTTCACAGTGCACTGCACCTGAATGTGCTTATCTTAATGATGCAGAGTGAGAGCGGAAACTTCACTCATAGAATCGGCAGTGGAAGGAAGAGAAATGAAGATAGATTAGAGGGAGGATTCAACTAAGAAAAGAGCTGAGGAGACACATGACAGGAGAGAAGCAGAGAGAAATGGAAGATAAACTGTAAAGCGCTTAGAGCAGTTTACATTTATTTAAACTTCAATTTCTGATTGGAATATTTTGGGGCCCAAGAGATTCCAATGATGTATTGTTTATTGGATGAACCTAAAGACATTTTTCAAAACATCTTTAATACTCCAAAATGGAAAGAAAGTCATACTGGTGGTTTGGAATGACATGAGGGTCTTAACTCAAAGATAACATCAGGGTTGAAGCAATTCTTGTATAATCTCTCTTTTTGTGCTCAACTGTTTAAACACAAGCATATCAAACCTTTTTTTTTTAATATCATTTGATTCTTACTTACTCAACTACAAAGACAAATAGTGCCCTGCCAGCTGAGAGGAGGTACGAGGGACTGATTTTTTTTTCCTTGGCACATGGAAGAGACTCGGCAGAACGTTTAATCTCTGTGCTTTCTCAACCTAATGTGACGGCACAACCGGCCCAGAGCGTCTTAGTACCCTGCAGTCCTCCCAATATCTGTCAGACCCATGCTCTTCAGGCCTGCCCGGTTGGCTCACGTTCTGGAGAATCTGCAAAAACAATATGTTCAGTCAGATATTCATCAGAAACCCTGCTCTGCTTCCAAAACATCTTCCAAAACAGTCACACTCCCTGAATTTTACAGCCTGCGTCAGCCTGCTTTAATGTCATGATGTCAGGACACCAATATTATAATATATATATAAGATATTTTTCAGAACCGGTACTGTTTTTGATAAAACAGTGAAACCAAATTATTACTTGACTTGTGGTTCCATTTAACAGTTTTATGAATCTCCAGATTGAAACGTGTAGTGTGACCAGACTGGTTCAGACTGACACAGCGGGGCCAATGTTGTCCGATCCCCAAACATAATTATGATTTTTATGAGCTGCCACAGCCTGCTCTTATAGTGAATCAAGAATATAAATATAGTCTGAATTCCAAATAGGATTTATGAGCCAATCTTTTTTTAGTGAATCAAAATCATACAGCACAGCCAGTTTAACATGGTTAAACAGCATTTACATAGTTCTGTTGTGTTTGATTTGAAGAATAGACATGACTTTCTTTTCTTTTTCTCTGCATTCTCATGTGTACTTAAAGGCTGTCAATCAACATTAGAGTGCCACCCTCAGGCTGAATAACGTAACCTCTGCCAAAAGTGGTTTGCATGTGTTCAGCATATAAAGCTTACAAACTGTTTATCATAAACTAATGCTAAGACCCAGAATCTTCCCTTCCTAATTTTACAGTCAGGAGCTGCTACCGATTAAAAGTGTACATTTCATCACTTCCCCTGATAATCAAACTCATGACGATAGTGGCGTTTAGTGGCCTTTTTGAGTTTCAACATCGATTTGACAAATTCAGACACATAGATCCCATCTTTTAAATGACAAGTTCGGTATTTTACAATTAAAGCCCTTTTTGATTGTTTTTTTTTAGACAGATGCTGCTGTCCCGAGAATTTTCATTTTCTGTGGTTACAAGCTTCTTTTACTGTCTATGGTTACAAGTGGTTTGCTTGCAATTGGCAAAGGTGCATAGTCCACTTTAGACATTCTACTAACTATAAGTAACTTTTCAACTACATGTCAACTAACTATCATTATAGTATTAGTAGACTGTCAGCTTAATATCTTCTAACACTTTATTTTGTTGGTCCCCCAACAGACATTTAACTGACTATAAGTAACTTGGCGACTACAAAACTGATTCTCCTAACCCAAAGCCTAACACCTAACCATAACCTAACAGTCTACTGACAGTATATGATAATATACTAACACTCTAATGAGAGTTACTTGACATGTAGTTGAAAAGTTACTTATAATTAGTAGATTAGTATAAAGTGTAACCTAATAATTAATGGAACCACTAAGGAACCAGAATAGAATAGAATAGATTGGAACAGAGTAGAATAGAATGGAACAGAATAGAGCTGTCAGAGCTATAATGCTTATTTGGCTAATGTTAATTGAATAACATTTTCTGATTTGGTTTGGCCCTCTTTCCCCATAATTTTCTCTTTTCTCTCCACTGGTCTATAAATAAACTTTTTGGCAACAAGATAAAAAAAAAAAAAAAAACCTTTTAAGGAATAAAAAGGAGAACATGATCCCAGAGAGGCAGAGAAGAAAATAAAAGAAATCTTTGAATACAGAAAAAAAAAAAAACTAATTTGAAACCTTTCACTCTTTGGTACACATACACAAATCCGCTCTCTTTACCTATCCTTCTTTTTTTTTAACAAACACACGCATACAGACCGAGGGAGAGCGGCAGTTCCCAGCATGCACCCCCTGTTCTTTGTTTTTCTCCTGCTGTTAGTCTAGGAGCCTTTTCTACCTTCAGATAACTCCTCAGCAAGCAGCAAAAGGGATGGTGACGCATGGAATTTCAAAGCGCTGCCATGGAGGCTGATGCACATTCAGGAAACAGGATAATTAACATCACCCATTCAACTTGCAAATCCGTGTGTGTGCCTACGTGTCCTGCTTATTACACGTTGACGTCTGTTTTGAAGTCCACAAAAGTGCATCGATCTGACGTTGCGTTCTGACGTCAACCCGATTTTCATTTCCAACCAAAATTGTCAATTCAATGTCAATCTGATGTCATATTGTCGTCCGGTGCCTGCTGGGCATAGTCAACGTTATAGAGTGCACTCATTGCATCCCACATTGCACTGCAATAATGAGTGTACAGCCCATGTACACTCAACAGCTGCCTGAATTCACTCACTCATTATTATTCACTCAATGATTGAGGTTTTAGGGGGGCGATTTCGGATTGCATCAGGTCAGTAACGATTTGGCTTGTCACGTGTCATATAGCGTATCAAATTAATTAAACTACACCTCCTTTAGTTTAAACATGCTCGTGTGTTCTGTTGTGTTCTTTTGTGTTTGATTTGAAGAATAGACATGACTTTCTTTTCTTTTTCTCTGCGTTCTCATGTGTACTTAAAGGCTGTCAATCAACATTAGAGCGCCACCCTCAGGCTGAATAACGTAACCTCTGCCAAAAGTTGTTTGCATGTGTTCAGCATATAAAGCTTACGAACTGTTTATCATAAACTAATGCTAAGACCCAGAATCTTCCCTGCCTAATTTTACAGTCAGGAGCTGCTACCGATTAAAAGTGTACATTTCATCACTTCCCCTGATAATCAAACTCATGACGAAAGTGGCGTTACTGCCTTTTTGAGTTTCAACATCGATTTGACAAATTCAGACACATAGATCCCATCTTTTAAATGACAAGTTCGGTATTTTACAATTAAAGCCCTGTTTTTGATTGTTTTTTTAGACAGATGCTGCCATAGATATGTATATAAAGGCTAGATGTGTTACGGCGGAGTTTCCATCGTCATCACCGGCGGCCATCTTGTCACAGACAAGCTGATGTAAGATGAGTGGTCAGCACGAACACAAATACTCTTATCTCGTTGAAATCTTGACGGATTTACAAACGGTTTGGTTTCGTACAAACGTTATTAACGTGGCTATAATTATCTGGATGATTATTTATTTATACACTTTTTATTCATAAGTATGCAGTGTCATAACTACATCTCTGACGTTTATAACAAAACAAACCGTTTGAAAATCGGTAGAAAATTGAGCAAGTTATGGTCATTTAAATAGTACATGTACCATTAACACAATGTTATGAGTGAGCGAGCTGCCTGTGACAAGATGGCCGCCAGGTGCAGACGTCGACCTCCATTGGCCAGCGGCGTGGACGACATATCTAGCCTTTATATAGATATCTATGGATGCTGCTGTCCCGAGAATTTTCAGTTTCTGTGGTTACAAGCTTCTTTTACTGTCTATGGTTACAAGTGGTTTGCTTGCAATTGGCAAAGGTGCATTATCGCCACCAACTGGGCTGGAGTGTCTATTATTCAAGCTCTCAACGGAAGAATGTATGGTTGTGAGGCATTCGGAAAAATAGGTCTACAGTTTTGCAATGAATGGTAAAACACCAGTTGGAAAGCATCTAAACAAACTTTGAAAGCACATGTATTTTTAATAAGGTAAGCACTGATACAATTTATGATTGGTTGTCTGTGGCTATACGACTTCAAAGGAGTGCGAACCCACTTGTGTGAAACTTTGCTTGAGTTTAAAAATTCCTGGTTTTAAAAAGATGTTAACCCAGTGTTAAGTTTGAAATTGACAGGTTAATTGATCTTAGATCAATGGGCATAGGGTTTATAGAGCTTATAGAGTGCTTTCTCCATAGCCACTTCCTCTGTGATTTACAGTCACCTCCAATCGGCACAGAGAAGAGCTGAGCGTCTTGCTTCCATTCCACCATCTGTCCTGTCATTCTGCATTAGTGTCACACACATGCCACAGCACTGACCTGCAGCCATAAATCAGTCTGTTGTCTGCTCTCCATTCTGCCCTTTCTGCCTAGGAGTCTGCCTCCTCTGCTGTTTCTTCATTCAGGCCGCACAGAGACACACAAACTCGCACACCTTCTCACAACCACCCAGATTTTCAATCAGCCAGCGGGAGGAACCCAGGGCCTTTCTGTTTATCGTGTTTAGACCAATGTGGGAGCCGCAGCTTTATCCCAGGAATCAAATTAAGCATGGAGCGCACTTACTCTGCTCTGAAAAACCAGCCCTCCCCCTATCCCACCTCTTTTTTGCTTATTTTTCCATGTGAAACCATTGTGCTGAGTGAAGGAAATATCTGCGAGTTGTTGTTTACGTTTGCCATTCTGGGAAGGAGCCAGGCGCCACATGAATTTCAGTCGGAATTCGCTTGCTTTATCTATGAGCGTCTTCGAAGGTTTCATTCCATTCTTCTATATCTGTATAGAAGCACTTCATGCTTTTCTCTCGCTCTCTCTCTGGCCTGGATTGAATGCTGAGCAGGCAGAGGCTGGTGGTGTGGCAGTAGCCAAGACAGGCGTCATCGTATTCTCCAGTCAATTACCTTCTAATGATGTTTGAATGTGAATTGCTTTCTATGTCCCTGAGCCTTTGCTGAGAGACTCTCTTTAGCTGGCAAAGTGTTAGAAATGAAGTCATAGTATTTTTACAAGTGTCAAATGAGTTCCTGACTCACTGAAGGCCTGGACAGCTGTGTTAAGGCGAGTGCAAAACTTCTGTTCAGCTCATAGGTTTATGTACTGCTTGCGTAAATCGCACTCCACGCTTTTTTAATAAGAGGAATTATAAAAACTAAAATATTTTTTTTTAATAAAGTACTTCCCTTATAACATTTATTTCAAGCGCAGCAATTATATTCAAATAACCGTTTATCTTAACTAGATGCATCAATGGTTCCATGAAGTGCCGTTTACTGGGCATCCGTGGAACCTTTCCATTGTACTAAAGTTTGTTTGTAGGTTATTTTAAGAACCATTTCATGAAAGGCTTTTTTGGGAACACAAATACATTAGCATGATCCTACTGTTTCGACTGTACAGTATTGATCTGTAAAAAAGCATTGCGATTTTTTTTCTAATTTCTGAAATTTAAAAAGTAACATTTAGGATTAGATATGTCCCAAATTAATAAAAAAGGCTGCAAGCAGCCATTAATGCTCAAGGGGGAGACACAGTATATACTAGATTTAGAACCAACAGATCTTATATGAATTCTAACAATGCATGACAACGTGCACTACATAATTTAGCCAATCACAACACACCGGCCCAAACTAACCAATCTGAGCCCATTGCCTGTTTCTGAGGGAGTGGTTTTATAGACTCAGGATGTAAACCAGTCGTTCAAATGAAAGATGAGAAAGCGGCTTACAATAATTTATGAAAAATAAGACTTTTTAAAAAAGAAAAAAACGCGAAAACATGTTATATTGCACCCCATAAATTCAATCATGCAGAGAAAAAAAGCAGTAAACCACCCCTTTAATAAGTGAGTCATTCATTCAACTGATTCATTCAAATGATTCATTCAAATGGCTGATTCATTGAGGCGCTAAGCAAATGACCATCTTTATAAATGGTAAATAATATTTTCATTGGCAAAATTGAGCAAAAACCATAACTAAACTGCATGCAATGTAAGATGCAATCTTTTCCACAATTGCACCAAATCATTGCGTTAAATCGACACCCCTAATATACATAGTTTTTGTTTTAGATATTTTTTATTTCTGAAGCATTTATAAGTAATGGTAGAAGTTCGACGACTTCTGCAAAAGGTATGTACTTATGAGCTTATGAGCACAACTGTTCTTTCCCCTACTAGATGGGTATATCTGAGGTTCAGATAACAGAATTTATAATGATCGAATCCAGAAATTGAATCACATTTTCAATTTTAAACTGTCATTCTTCAAAGTCAACTCCAGATGGATTTCTTGTGGCCAATCCCCTTCAATAACTCACATTAAGAACCTCATCCCATCCAGAAGCACACGGTGCTCAGTCATGCTCGCTCATTCCCCCCTTGTAGAAGGAATTGCTGAAAAGTTCTGGTCCATTAACCTGGCTAAACATCTTGGCTCAGAATGCAGATGAACTCAGCAAGCTCACAGGCCTGACACTCTCCATCCTTCCCTACATCATCCTCCATGCCACCACTTCCACAGATCTCCGATCTTCGTACTTGCTCTTTGATTTAATTAAGAAGAAACAATATCATATTGGTGCAGTTGTGGGGATCTCCATCCCTCCTTCTGTACTGTTGGCTTTTTCCTCCTCTAAGCACAGACTTCATGAAAAAAAAAAAGGAAATAAATTGATTAATAAAATTCAGCATACAGAACCAGACTCAGCTTGAGATCAAGCTGTATTGGGGAGAGTGGCAGCTGCTCTCCCCGGGGCTCCTTGGTGCATTGCAGCAAAACTATTTTACCATATTATTGATAATGATAATTAAGGTGCCACCATGTTGTGATGTGTTTTATGGAAATTTTACAAGATTATCTTCCTCAAAGGGCCATAGCAATGGGCCCATGTTGCATAGATCAATGTATCTCACCACCTGTCCAATGTTTTTCTCATGTACTGTAGGTCTGGGCGTCCTGTAAGCTTCACTGTGGTCTTCAACACACCAAGCCCTGTCAGCAAGATCTCCTGGGTCAACCGGTTCCACCTAGTGAAGATAGCACTGAGTGAGTTTGAATTTTATCCTCCACTAACCCATGACTTTAGGCCTTTTGATCTGAAACATTGACTATGATTATTAAACAGATGGGTGTTTTGTTGTGGATGTTTATTCTGACCAGAGAACTGCATGCAGTAAAATAACTGGCTATGAAATACAATTTCAAAATCTCATTGCTTTACACAGTCGTGACTTCTTTCTGTTTGTCACATCGATGGTAAATCAGAGTGCAGCCATGATTTATTTAGGTCTTATCAATGTATAAGCCATTTTAATATGCTTTAACCTTAGGGCAAAGATATATATTATTCAGCCACAACTCCCTGAGGAAGTCATACCTCCTCCTCTTATCACAAGCTAATAGAAATAGCCTAAACCTTTGGTATAGCGCCTAAACAAAATCTCATAGGAACTTCAGTTTTTGTGATATCAACTTCAAATTTGGAACATAACTTGGTTGGGCATATGGCTTTGATTTTATTGCAATTTTAGAGTAATAATATGTCGGATAAAGTAAGAAATGTTGGTTACACTTTATACACTTTTTACACATTCTGTTGACTTGAGTATAGTTGTACCTATCTGTCTACTAACTCTCATTAGGGTGTGGAATATTAGTAGGGTTAGGGTTAGAATAAGTTGACATGCACTTGCAATGTTACATCTAGTCAGTGATTCCGGCAATGTTACTAGGTCCCCAACCTGGGACCGATGCCGGTATCAATCCCGAGTCGTGTTGCATTCACACAGAAGGTGTTCTGGCAATTTCCTGGCAATTTCCCGCGATCAACGCGCTGTGTGAAAGCGGCTAGAAATCTTTAACAAATCTCAAAATAATTTTTCATCCTGTTCATTCATAATTTTGTGATGCTTCTAGTAGCATTTAAACCGATTTATGTTTTAATTTTAATAAATCTAGACTAAATAGTATGCTATTTTAATATCACACAAGTGGACATAGTCTTCCCAAAGACGTCAACTTTTATGATATTAAAAAACAATAGGAGGTTTTAGTCAGAAATGCATCAGGCGACTTGTGATGGGCAAAGCCTCACTTTGTATAAGTTTCTGTTGCACATTATGTTCATATGATTGTGCATTAAAAACATCTGGGTATTAATGATTTAATAGGGTTTTAATCTGGGTGTAAATATTGCTATCAGTGTCAAGGTGCATTAAGCTATTCAGGTAGTAAATATGCTTATGGTCACAGTGAGGCACCCAGACTGCTGTAAGTTGTGATAAAATCTGTGCTTGAATTGAATGTTGTAAGACAACTCAAATCTAGCAGCTTGGATCGTTTCGTTTCATTGATGCCATGCACAGATCACTTGGACAGAGTGTTTCTGTCAGTCTGCAGACCGGGTCAGAGGTGTGGATATTTAGAAATGCATCAAAACTAGAGACTGATGGGACTTGATGGGTCTGACTTCTCAGTGCCGTGCTTTTGCTGTTTTCCCACACCAGGTGAAGTTTAACAAGAACAAAAAAGTAGTTTTACTTCATGAGGGGCATATTTGATGGACACACAGACAAATAAGCAGGAATAGGGTGAACTAGAGCTACGTTTCTGAGCCAAGATCTGCAAAAGCATTGACTGGAACCTTTTTTAACTTCTTATTTCTAATCATTCTAAATGCAAGGTAAATTGTTTCAAGTTTTGCTGTGTTTTGTCTTGTTTTCAAAACAACAATAATTACCTCACATATGCGGCCTATGGCTATTTGTAACCTGTTATTGAAAAGAGCTTTATGGCAATAGGCAAATAGCAATCTTGGCTGACAGTAAGTGGATGCTGGCAGCATAAGTGGCAACATCCCTCCAAAATATATAAATAAATAAATAAATAAGTAAAAAAAAAAAAAAAACAAGTTAGATAGCATCTGAGAGAGAATGACAAACATTTCTGAGAGCCTTTTTCACTGTAAACTTTTATTTTGTGGCAAGAAGCCATTTGGCTTTTTGTAAATTTCCCGGTTTTTGGAATACGTCCTATGTTAGCCGTGTCAGACGTTTGTTCCAAGCTTGGTGACCAAAATGAGATTTAATTCACAACCTGCAGTTTAACTTTCTCACTTCACTTTGCAGAGTCGTAACATGTCACATTTGGAATGTGCGGAAATGATATGTATTTTTTAGAATGGTGTCAAAACATTCCGAGCGTTTTGTGCAGACGGTCGTTATCCAGCCTGCTGAAGATGCCATTTACACCCTAATTTCATTACACCCACACATTGCCTACTCGTTTAACCAAATGAAAGTACAATAACAGAGATGCTGGTGCAATTTCATGGCTGGCCTGTTGTTACCGAGCTCTCTTACATCCTTTGAAGACTTGTGAGTTGAATGTGTGCAAAAAAACAACAAAAAAACCTTTGATTGTGGTCATTTGAGACCGTTAACAACACATCTGGCAGTGTATTAAAACCCAGCCCGCTCCCTTGTTCATATGTTCATCCATCTCCTGTATCCTCTTTGACACGCATTGATCCATATAGGGTCTTTCCTGAGTCCTCCATCTCAACTGTTTTCTACTACAGCCCTGCTTTGATGTGCAACTTTTGTGTGATATAAAATGCAGCTGTTTTGTTTGTTAGGAGGGCCATTAACAAGGTTTTGCAATGGGTAACATATGCTTGTCTATAAAAAAAACATGCTGTCAGAAAACAGTGTTTGTGATATTGTGGCGGCATGCTGGGAACTCATGGGGCGTGAGATCGGGAACTTCTTCATGAGTGTGTCCTGAGGGTTCCATTAATTATGAAGACGTGGTTCAGAGATTCCCATGACAACGTCATGTGGTGCAGAGAAAATACCTGGCTCTTTTTCCAAATGCTCCCTTGTTGCATGTTCACAGGTGCACCTTTAATTAATAAGTTTGAGATGCAGAATGTACTCAGTCTGAAAATTGATCGACAGTTTCAAGTTCTTGCGTGGCATTATAGATCCTTCTCTTTTGAAAAAAGCAGATTATAGTTCTCATTTCTCTATTTTTAATTGTATTTTTTTGTACCAGAACAACAAAAACATTTATTGAATATTTATTTGATTTATAACTATATTTCATATTATATATATATATTAGTACATATTTATATAATATATTATTCATTTTATATATATATATATATATATATATATATATATTATGTTGTAATACACATTTTATATTAAAACTACATTTTACCTATTATATACACTCTTAGAGGAAAAGGTTCTATATAGAACCTTAAAAGGTTCTATCAGCGCTACGTATTTGGAACCCCTAAAAGGTTATATACACTCTTAAAAAAAAGGTTCCTTTGGGTTCTATATAGAACCCTGGGGTTCCGTACTTGGCCAATAGAACCTTTTACCAAAAAAAAAAAAAAAAGGTTCTATATAGAACCATTTTGGAGTTCCATATATGAAGCGGGGATGGAACCATTTCTGGTTCTAAATAGAACCATTTCTTCTAAGAGTGTAATATATAACTACTGTGATATTTCATACAATACATTTAGAGCATTTTCTGTAACAATTTTAATTTTTTTATCTTTGGCCTGCAGTTAAATACTAAATTTAACTAAACTTACTTTTAGCTTTTAGTTTCAAAGTAGCTTTCGCAGTACTGGACTTATGGCAGCTTATTTTGTCAGTTATAAGTACATGAGTACACACACACACACACACACAAGAAGGCAGATTGGTCACAGAGCTGAAAGGAGAAAGTTTGGAAAGAAAAAGTATGCGAAACTGCAGGAGAGATATGGATAAACTTATATGAAGGCAAATTCTTATTTGTGTGTGTATCTACTCAATGTGTGACAGTGGTAGACAAAGAACAGGAGGATGTGTCTGACAGCAAAGCATTCTAAATTAAGCACAGAAAAGAAGAGTGCGAAACCATTTGTAAACCTATTGCTGAGATCGATCAGGTTATGATAAACACTGTTTGGTACCTCCAGATGGAGTTGAGGAAACATGTGATAGTTTACCTGACTCCACCTGAGTAACACACTCCATCTCCACTCGCTCCTGATCTGTGATCACTGCCGTGGTCTGTCAGGCACGACTACATAATGAGAGAAGAGAGGACTTTTAGAACAAATCTGTGAGGTACTTGTGGCCTTAACCTGTCTTTACTTTCCCTATACTGCTCAGCAACCTGGCAAGAACTAATGTCTACGGATGTCATAGCAACTGATTCCCCCCCAACCTTCAAATGTGACCAAGTTAGGGAGCTTTCCTTCATTAACGCACTTTCTGAAACCCATTGATGCTTCCTAGGAAAACAACATATTGAAAAAGCTCATGCTAAAGTGAAAGAAAAGGCATGAAAGGCATTGTTCACTCCTTTTGTATTCTACTGCGGTTACTGGACACAAAGAATCTTTTGTAACTATTCAACATCGAGTCTTATGCTTCCAAACGACTGACTAAAGTGTTTATTAATGGATTGTGTCTTTTTAGTCCTTCTGTAGTACACGTTTGATTCTATTTCTCGATTTGTCTTATTTCATCTGCTGGAACTGTAACAAGCAAGCAGCAATATCATATTTTTTTATAATTCACTTTATTTATTCAATTTTTAAACAAGTGAATAGTATTTAGAAATCATAAAGCATGTACATGCACATATACTTTTTTTCTTTTCTTCTAAATTAATATGAATCTGTATCCGCATTAAGCCATGCTGTTATACATTCATAGAGCAAAAAAAGTGTAGATTTTTGTGTAGATTTGTAAATTGGAATTCAATAAACAATTGTGCTACTCAACATTGATCCCTGCGGTGTCGAGCAACATCCTGTGAACTCTTTTGATTCAACTATATCTTTGCTGCTTTTGGTAAAGTGCTTATAGATTGGCCTGCTTTGTAATTAATCATCACAGTAGATTTAAAGCCCACCGCTATTAGTCAATAATGCCAAAGCATAATTAAAATGAAATCCCTATTATGCGATGCTTCTGTATATTTGCTCTGGAAAAACAACAACAACTGTAAGGTCCATGAGTGGTTACCAGCTATTATTGTAAATGACAAAAAGTTAGATGAAGTTCAGCGTATTCTTTTGGAGAACATAGCTGTTAATTAAAAATTGGTGTTTTTCACATTTTGTTTTAAATAGTTGTGCCTGCTTGTTCTCTCAAAGAGTCAAGGCAGCAAACCTCTAATGAAAGCAGTATAGTACCCACCAAGGCTGGGTGTTCAGCTATTCACAGCCTCGCTTTGTGCCAGTTTACTGGAACATTCAGATGAATGTTTTCAATTATGCATTTATGGTACTGAATAGCAATTTGCATGTTTGAGGAAAAAAGCAACACAAGGGCACTATTAGTTTGGGCGCTTCTTTTGGGTGGTTGTGTGAAGCACAATACATTCCTAAACTGTGGGACAAAGTACTTATAATTTGTCTGGATTGGAAAGATGTCATGCAAACTACTTTTTGTGCTACAGAAGGAAGGTTTTTGATTATGGAGAAGTATCCGAACCCCTGTTTGAAAGCCCCAGATTTAACAACTTTAGAGGTTTGTTAATGCAAGTGCAAAACCAAATATAAGCTTAATTTTTCATTCTCTTAAACATTGCAGACACCGTAATACCATTGTAAATACTCTAAAAAAAAAAAAAAAAAATAGCCAAGGCTAAACATTTTCTCTGGTAATTGACATTATGCAACTAATGCTGCCAATGGAGCTTCTCTCTTATTAATTGAACCAGAACATTTGTGCAACAGCAAAGCCTACAATAGTTCTAATACAATTTGTCTGAAATAAACTGACAGCCCTTAATTCTTATCATTCTTTTACTTTAGTGTGTGTGTGTGTGCATGCATGCTTTTTGGCTATGTAGATTCCAAATACATTTAACTTTTTATTTCTCATCCATTGTCTGCATGGTAGAGATACCCGTTCGCCTGGAGCCCAAATCCTCTCTCCTGTCCATCATTCTCTCACCTTCATTCTCACTTTCTGCTTCTCCTTTGTCTCTCTTTCCCTCACGCTCTGACAGCGGCTATCAATGAGCAACCCCTGGTTAAACCCCAGTCTCCCTGATGAGGTGCAGCACACTTGTTTGCTTATCCTTTGCTAAGCGGCTTGAGTTTTACTACACAACATGAATAGAACGATGGTTGCTGCATTGTTGATGAGGGAATGAAGAGTGTGTTTGGCTGCTGAGTTCTGGCTTGTTTCTCACATTGTGTTAGCCAGGATATTGGAAGCTTACGCAGGCAGAATACATTATGCCAGAGTCATTAGCAGTGCTAGCCCTTGCTATGCAGGGGCATAAGACAGGCTCCGACGTTGCTAATGTCTCATCTATCTTGCCACGTTGCGTTTATTGAGTGAAACATCAGTTATTGTTCATTAATAAAGGGCTGAATGTCATTCTAGTGCGTCTTATCTTAGTAAACCAGCGAAAGCCAGCGTTTACTCTTCTCCGGAGAGTTTGGTGATGCACGTTTGGACAAACTTGGGTAGTTACCAATGTCTAAAAGTGTGTGAAACATGAATATTGACCTTTTCCGACAAACAAATCGGCAAAGAGCACATTTGATCAGCTAATTTAATGGCTATCTTAAGTATGCGAGTGCAGTGCGAGGCAGGTCAACAGTGAACCTGATGACCCACAAGTAGTTGACTGACAGCTAGAATTCAGTTACAGTGATTTAGAAGTGAACTACGCTCCTCAAGCATCCCTCTAAAGGGCAAACTTGTAATGAGAATGAGATCATGCCATAACTGTTTTATTTAGTAAGATATAATTCAGTCCTGATTGCGATTGAAAAGGAGACGTTGTGGGGGGAAGGATTAGGCGCTTTTGTAAGTTAGTAGAATTCGCTTTCATGCTTCATTGGGCTGTGAAAATATAAACGGCCACGTCGAAAGAAAACCAGGTAATATCTGTCACGGCTCTGGTTTTAAATGACTAAAGACAGCAGGGTCTTGCTTTCATTATGTCTGTCTAACATTCTAGACGAGGGTCCATATAGCACCAAAGCAGAGAAAGATGCACGCCTGGATACCACTTACTTTTATGCTAAAATCCTATTGTGATATTGTCAGATTCCGTCTGCATTTTAAATAGTATTTGACAGACCTTGTAGATACAATGTTTGTACAGTGTTTTTCCTCTTTGTCTCATTATGTGTGATTAACTTAACATAAATGGGAACAGACTTGTAAGTACTGTATAAGCAATCTGTCAGAACAAGTAGTGATTGCAACTTTTAGCCTCAAATTACTCACAGAAGGCCGTATGTTTACTGCAGAATGCAAAAACTAATAGGAAAAATCTATTTTCTCAGCTCTTTTTAGGACATGCAATAGTCAACTAACTATTGACTATATGACTTTTGTCTTAGGAAACTTCTAATTACTGCTTAATAGTTAGTAAGGTAGTTGTTAAGGTTAGGAATTGGGTTGGATTAAGGGAATATGGTCATATGGCATTAATATGTAATTTATAAGTACTAATACAAGCCAATATTCTAGTAACACCTGAAATAAAGTTAGGCCTACCCTTTTTTCGAAATCTCTCACTCAGTCAAATAATCAAGATTTCATTGACCATGATAACTAAAAACATTATCTATGTCAGTCAAACTGTTTTAACAGATATGCTGGAATATTCCTTTAGAAATGATCCTAACAGTGTGACCACGGCCGTAAAGGCATGGAGGAATCCTATTTCTCGTCGGCAAAGTTCATCAAGTTCATTCAAAATTTCTCTTCAAATGTTGATGAATTTCTGTTTTCCCTTTGTCCTTGAAAAAATTCAATTACCTTTTTAATACTTTTATAAATAATGCATAGATTTGCCATAGCAGTAAGATCAACTGTATAAAACGATTAGATTAAGAATTCTCATTTCTGGACTTACATTATTGAAAGGGGATTATTGCAAGGTGTCCGCAATTATCTTAAGAACATGTGTGGTCTTATCCAAAGTCTTACTGTACTTACTGGCAAAATAAGTCCTTCTGAGAAGTTAAGTAGAAGTAAAAGTTTTAGAAATCTGACCTTCTGAAGTACGCCATTGATTGCATTGATTTTAGAGAGTCGGTTTCATCGTTAGTGGGAAAAGAATGGAGACAAAATCAAATGTTAACGCCCCTTAAGAGTATGTTGACCACAAAGCACTGATATACAGAGATGTCACACTATGGCTGCTTGTATTCCCTCTATGAAATCGGAAAGAAATCATTCTGAAGCCCTTGAGAAACCGTGAGACTAACCTCAAGTTAATTGGCCCTTAAGTCTCCCACTCTGACTTGAACGTTGATATGGCTATGGTACATCGGCCGCCAAACCGTGTCACGTACCTTTCACACTGCGAAAACAAATGAGCCGAGTCCAAACTGACTGCATTTGTTTGTAGTCTATTTTCATGGTTTCTGGGGCTAATTTTAAGTTGATGCGCTGGTAAAGAGACAGGGGGCCAGGAAAAACACAACATTTTTTATGCAAACGTAAGATGGCCATGATAGGTAATTACTTAATTGCTTTTATAGAGAGTGGTTACTGGCAGCCAGGTATTGTGCTTTGCAATTGTAAATGCCTGTCAAAGTGGCTGTGAGGGAAGACCTAGGGGGCCTACACCTCTAGAATATAGACTTTTCATTAATTGAAACCTGGAGGTTGCTTCTTCACACGCTGAGATGGACACCTGCTGCAGGAATGAAACTTGTGAAGGCTCATTAGTCTGCTATACTGAAAATATCTTCAGATAGTGCACACCAGGAGCCTCAAACATCTTAACCACCGCCATACTTCTGTTTTCATAATTAGATAGACATATGAGATGATGTCACTCCGCATGATCTGCTGGGGGAAGAACGAATAATAAACTAAGCCAAATATAATCTCTTGCAGGGGATGAAAACACACCGGGTTGGTTCTCTGCAGAGGATTATGGGAAGACCAAAGCTCAGTTTTGGTGTCCACTTCTGGCCTACCGCATGCCTGTTTTCACCTCCAAAGCCCAGGAATGGAAGGTAAGTGACGACCAGTTACAAAAAGCATTTTTTTTCTGCTTTGACATCCAAAGGCTGTTCAGAAACTTCTGTTGAGCAGAAATAAAGATTATATATATATATTTTTTTTCCGGAAGACAAATTACTTTTAGAAACTGCTGTATACAACGCAATCATTTTTTTAAAGCTAGGAAATTAAAGTCCCACAAAAACAACCTCCACAGACAGAGTCTGACCATGGGATGATCTTATGGGAACATTGCCAGGATTGTGGAATTACAAGGTGACATGGAAGCTTTCCAGTCACACTTGTAGGATAGGGAGGTTGTGGATCAATAGGAGCTGTTAAGAGCAGCAAGCTCCTCATATATCAAGTAGTGAACTCGGGTAAGAGACTAAAATGGCTTTAGAGTCAGTCAAAAAGGAATGAAATCAATTTTACTGTCTGGAAGATGATATTTCGGGCTAGATTTGAAGACCTAACGAAGTTAGGCGGCTTACCCCTGAATGGTGAGTTTTGTTGCCAAATTACCCAAGTCACCATGTGAGGGTGTTATAAAACGATCATGCAATTACGTTAATGACTGTTGGACACCTAAGAATAAATCAATCAAGCTCCATTAAATAAAGATTATTGCAACCCAATAGATGGGAAGTCAAGGCTGTCGGTAAAATTGCTTGATCATGTGTTTTTTGCAACAGCTTGGAGCTCTGACTTACAGATAGACTGTACTTTTTCCACATCATTACTTTCCATAGCTGCTTAGGAGTTTTATTAATTGTGTTTCTCTTGTCTTAAACTTTAGAGTGTTATTGCTTTGTGAAAACCAGCTGTAATGTTTCAGTCACCTTTAATAAGAATTGTTATCTGGCTTGGGGTAAATTGAGTTCTGGGGTAAATTCTATAAACAATGTTAGTGGAAAACCAAGAAATATTTGTAACACTTTAAAAGTGTCCATTCTAGGCTTGGGAAATTTATGAAGATTGTTAAAATCCTAAAAGGCCATGGACATTTTTGTATTTAACGCAGTCAAAGGATTTTTTGTTATTCTCAGTTGCAATCTTTTTCTTTGGCCAGAAACACTCTTTTTTTATAATATAATTATACAAATTATATATATTTGATACTCAAAATATAGTAGATTTCAAAAGTCATATAGATTTATATAGTATTTATTATTATTATTATTATTTATACACTGCTTATTTTTTTTTTGTCTATAAATTGTGAGTATAATCTCTGTAAAATAATAATTGAAAAAACTTGGTTATGGAAAATCATATACATTTGTTTAAATGTGTGCCATCTACATCTAACGTTAGTATTAAATTTGGTCCGGTTATGGATGGGTGTCTTTAGTAAAGTCTTGTTCTTCTATGTTCACTACCACGGGCACGGGCAGCATGTGTTAGCCAGTGCCAAGACCTCCAAACATCTTACTTTTAGGTTTTGGCATCTGATGTGCTTGGCAGAACATTCATTGGTGCAGGGATTGGAAAAGGGGCTCTTGAAGACCAAGATCAAAAGAGAAAAGCCGCTGGGTACTCGTTGTCTCCAATAATAAAATAGAAGTTCTGTAGCTTCGCACCATGAACAACTGATCTGCACACACACAATTCTGCCGTTTTTTTTGTAAGCCTGGTGGTGGGTGGACTTGTTAGGCGTAGGAGATAACCGTTATCAGGTCTTTCACTTCTGACGCGGATCTTTGGGCTCTCTATGACCCACCCCTAAGCAGTCCACCAGGCAATATCTGACCCACTTCTGAACCTTACGAAAATCCTGGAATACTGCACAAACAGGCAATCATTTTTCTTGAGATACAATAGTAAGTGTAGAGGAACAATGTTTGTTTGCATATGCTTTCCTAAACAGTATGCTAATGTTAAACCTACCTTGATTGAACTCTTTGTCAAATCATATGTTATCTTAGGCAGTCAGATTGTAGATTTTCATGTTTGCACCCTTCAAGTCTCCATTTTGTTGACCCGTTAGGCATTTTTATTCATGAGAATAGATTACAGATACTGAGGTGATGAAAAAGGGGAATGGAATTGGCAAATGCATGTGTGTTAACTGCCAGGCCATGACTCTTAACTGTGAAGTTCTGTTTGTGTCTTTGTGAAGTTTAACATGCTAGATTGTGTTTCAAGAAATTAAGAGTTTGGGTTGACTATCCCTTAACATATGCTAAAAACCCTCCACTAAAAATCTACTTCAGCTGTGAAAGCTCTAAGCTAGAAGTACTGAGAAGTATAAAGATGTCTCATGGGTAGAGAAAGAAACAAAATCTGTTTCCCGATGAAGCATTAGGATGGAGAGAAGATGGCTCTTATTTGAGTGTTTTTTCAATGCCGTGGAGATCCCATAACGGGTGCTTTGAAGTGTGGGAAGACATGCTGGAAAAGGGAGGTATCAGGTTTGACTTTTCTCTTTTTTGGGGGGATTAACACTGGGGAAAATGGAGAAATGTTTTCTGAATCTCTTTTATAGTACTTAAACTCATGTCATGGTTCTGTCCATTAAAGCGTGCCTACAGAAACTAGGGCTGCCTTCAGCTTATTGTTGTGGATATGTGCCCAGTATACCTTGGATATTTTTGCAGTTTAAATGCTATTTTTGTGACTCATGGTTGTGTTTTGATTGTCAATATCTGCTTAAGTTGTTAAAAGCAGCTTTGGGCTTCAAGCAATAACCTTAATGCATCACTGATCTTAAGAATAAACCAGTGTAGCTTGTTTGCATGCATATTCTTCCAATTTTCTGGCCATGTTTTGTGCCTGTGAAGCATATAATACATTTCCGAACAGTTTGTAAGTTGTTTATTGATAATATAATTCGGTATTTACAGCTTCATCTTATATTTGAATGGGAAATCAAAGTGTTCAACAGCCACTCTGGTTGATGGGCAAAAAGTGCAAAAATGTCCCACTTTGTTTGCGTCCCTGACTGATATAGATGGTTGATCTGTATACAGTTTTAAAACTACTGTGAGTTCTGACAGGGTCTGGACATACTTGTTTTGTTTTCTATCTACATTCGTGTTAGCGTGAGAGTGGACCAATTGTTGCTCATGACTAATGATACCTCCATAACCCAATGATTGACTACTGACTGCTGACGAGATGGCACAATGACATCGCTTGCAATAGTGAATGTGTGGATGGAGTCTATTTATAGCTCCGTTTGGAGGGGGACTGATATATGACACCAATGACTTGAAGCTGTTACAGCAGGAAGAGGAAAAAAATTACATCTCAAGCTGATGCTCAACACATGAGACCAAGACAGAAAGCACATGAAATATAGATCAGAAATGTCTTGGAGAAAGGTGCCCTTCCCCTTACATGGCAGCACTCTGTTGAATCTACTTCTTTTTTTCCTCCTTTGTTTTTTTTTTTTTTGTCAGCATGACATTTTTTTCCCATAGAATCAGACAGGGTTATGCCTTCTGCAATCTTTTCTGTGCATAAATAAGGTTTGTGTTTTGTTTTCTCTCTGCTTCCTTTCGATCCCTCTGTGAGTTCTGCATTTCATCTTCCTCCTCGTCTGTGAAGAACAGACGCCACAGCATGGATTAAAAGCTTTTTTCTTCACATCTCCGCTGGACTGCTGCGACACTTTCTCTCCTATGCTGCAGTATACCCTGCAAGTAAATACAAACACGTATACAGTATATTGAGCTGAATTTTAAAACCCCCCCAACCCGACTTACAGCTAAATCCAGGAGGCTTCATCGAGGCTTTGCTATTAATTGCTGATAGCTTAACCTCATCTTCATCTGGCCCTTCATCGCCAAGGATCAGTATAATTAATTAAGAGCGCTTTTGTTTTTTTGCTCAAGCTTTTCCCTAATCTGTCTCTTGTTCATCTGCAGAGTTCAGGCAGGGCGAATGCATTGGGCACTCAACACTTTTGGATTATGCTGGACAGGAAGTGTAAATCTGATTTCCTTTTTTTTTTTGTCAAGATCAGAGAGCACCTGTCACCAGTGTTGATATATATCGCCATCTCGGTCAAGGCTTCGAATCGCTGCACTCCAAGGAAGCTCCCGACACACGACTGGAGCTTGTCACTGTCTGTTGCACAGTTTGGTGACAGCACGGAACAAAAAAGTCTCAAAATCTCTTGTTCTGAGGGTGACTTTGGTCATGTCTGGTGTTAAACACTGCAACCTTCAAAAGTAACGAGTGCTGCTCTTGACAGCAGTCATATTTTAACAGACAATAGAGCATTACTGGTAGGGAAACTAAAATCTAAAGAAACAGTTCACCCTAAAATTAAAATGATATCATTTACTTGTCGTCATGTCATTTCAAACCTGTATCGGGTCTCACATTCAATTTCAAATTACTGAGACAGACATCGGGGGTAGTTGAAGGATGAAGGAAGAGCAATCGAGCGCAGATCGATAGATAGTGTTCTACGTACCCGCCATGAAACAAGGAAGAAATGCTTGCCTTGAGGAACAGGTAAGGTGGAGACGTACCCACATTAATGGTGGTGGAATGCTAATGAACCACATTTCAGCAGAAGACACAAGGATCTAGGTTTCTTCAGGTTCCCCGCGGAGGCCGAGTGTACACTGCGGCAAGCATGCAAAGCACTTTAAAGATGATGTGCGACCAGCGCTAAATTTGCAGCAGCCCGTGTGCATTTTTTCGACATATTATGTCGAAATAACGAGGTATTATGTTGAAATACCATTATAAATAATAATAATAATAAATCCTTAAGAATATTTGATTGAATGCAGAATGTTGTGCTTGTTCAGTTTAATTTAGATAATCTATCTATCTATCTATCTATCTATCTATCTATCTATCTATCTATCTATCTATCTATCTATCTATCTATCTATCTATCTATCTATCTATCTATCTATCTATCTATCTATCTATCTATCCATCCATCTATCTATAATTGCACAGCTCCTCCTGTCAATGATCCCCCCGCCCCCTAAGCTTTAAAGGGTTGTTAAATCACTATAAAAGTAGTCCAGATAACTTTGTGTGAGTC